ACATATATATATACATATATTTATATATACACATATATATATACACATATATATATATACACATATATATATATATATATATACATATATATATATATATACACATATATATATATATATATATATATATATATATATATATATATATATATATATATATATATATATATATATATATATATATATATATATATATATATATATGTTACGGTCAAAGCCGGAAGTCGGCCAATGCTAGGATTGGCCGGCCAATCCGCTCATTGGCCAATATCGCCTCCCATAGGTCGGTCAAAGTCCGAAACTTTGATTTCGGCCTTTGGCCGGCCAATCCGCAGACTGGCCATGGTGGACCGGCCAAAGTCTTAATTAAAAGATCATCTGGCAAGGGACGACCAGCCAAAGTCCGAATTAGTAGATCATGAGCAGATTTTTTTTTATGCCGTAAGGATCATGAAATTAAGTCTTTATTGATTATTAATTAAAGTAAATGACAGAAACATTCAAATTTTTTATTGTACTAAAGTCTCAATCTATCAATATCATCATTTTTTACAACAAGTTGAACTTTTATGGCATTTAGAATTACATAGCAGCTTGTTATGTTTACACTTGCAGCGATTTGTTGAGCACTTAGTTGTGCAATTGCAGCGAGTGTAGCCTTGGCACCCAGTCAATGATTGTGAAGATGCGATGGTTCGTAGTGATTTTTCCTCAGTGCCAACTGACGACAATAAGAGCAGTATTTCGTGAAAAATTGAAACCTCACTTCTAGCATACAGTTGTTTTAGAACACCATGTTCCGTTCCTAATTTGTAGAAACCTCGACGCTCATGACAACTGCAATCACGCTTCGGGGATCACCGTGACCTCTGTCAACATCTGGAAAACGGATGTGTACATTGTCACCCACTTCACCATCTTTAAATTTTGTATTTGATGTTTTAAGCATCTTAGCACCTTGAGTTTGCAAGCCAGTATGAGCTGCTGATTTGTGTTCCATGATGTCTTGTTTGTTGTGACACAATCTGCAGGTAATGTTCCCTCTGTACCCTTCGTCTGTTTCATTGGGTATTCCACAAATAGCATGGACATCGTTGCCACAGGGTCCAAAAGAATGAGCTGCACTACAATGTTTTTCACAAACTATATAGAATCTGTTGGCCACATTATTGTCACGCAACTGGTCTGGACGTTCCGCCACGGCAGTAGATGTGTTAGCTGAGGATGTCGTTGCATTTATGGCAACATCCATTTCTTGTTCAATGTTCTCAAGATCTTCCTCAGTAACTATTTTATCGAGATCCCATATATGGAAACTAACATGTATTTACATTTTTTCCTTTTGATAGCCATCTGCTATGTCTGTCTCATGGTCTGACGGCCCTTTTGATCCATGTCGCCTTGCATATAGAATGCTATACAAATAAGAGCTAAACAATACGTTACTCTCAATGAAAACGCACCCAGAATAATGAAAATGCGCTCACAAATTAGTCTAGATAGAACATTGGCCAGGACATCCCGGCCAGTGCGCGCATTCGTCTGTACAAAATACGCTTTCAAGTTTAAGCGCTTTGGACTTTGGCCAGTACGTCCCGGCCAGTGCGCACATTGGCCGGCCAATGTACAAAATACGATCTTAGTGCTAAGTTCTTCGGGGTTAGGCCAAGAGAGCCGGCCAATGCGCTTTGACCGTAACATATATATACTAGCGTACCCGACCCCCGCGCGTTGCCGCGGGGATAGAAGAAAGTTTGACGAAATATATTAGGATTTCACCAACGCGTTATCAATTATAATTATATATTCTTAGACGCGTGACCTTCTTTTCTAAAAGTGAGTTATTTAAATGTAAACAATGCCTGCGCTTGGATAATAAATATCAGGACACGGGTTTACCTACACTACCGCATGAAAACCTTGAGTGTACATTAATCACTCACCGAAATAATATGGTAGAACACACTTCGGTGACCGCCTCTGTGTCAGAGCGTAGAGGGGCGCTCTCAGGGCCCCCACCCCCCCCACCCCCGATTACACTACCGCATAGGCGCGGCGTACGACCCCTGGCTCCTTAAAACTAACAGGCGCCATTTAAAAAAATTAATTGACGTGTTTTAAATATCAGTGTGACTGATGCAATATGCTAGCGTTACTAATGGTCTATTATTAGATGCTAGATCTCAATTTCTGACTGGATTGTCAAATAATAGATGCTTATTGCATCATTCGCAAAGTGATGAAACTCTACAGTAAGCTCCTCATATTCAAAGTTATTTTTTCATCTTTCGAAAGGTGACGAAACTGTACAGAAGGATTTCCTCGCGTTACAAAGTTATTTTTAGAAGCCTTTTGTAGTTTTACCGCTGAATATAGTTGTACGTCTTACTCGCTATGCAGGAAGCTCAATTAACGGATGCCAAGTGCCAACATAGTCACTCTAAAACTCTGGGCGCCAAACCGTGTATTGACGAAAGTTGTACCATATATGGCGCCGCCCATAAGAAACTTTAGTTTTCTTTTTCGCAGAAATAATCTCGGGAGTATTCTCATCTACTCCCTAAAGTTTCATGGCACTCGGATGAACCGCATCCGAGTTTTATTTTTTATATACTGTGTATAGAGAAAAAAAATCGCTCCCTCCGGAGGGGGTGCCTCACCATTGCAATATTAAACAATATTTTTTTTTGGCAGAACCCTACCATTGAGTGATCTAATCATCTCCCCAAAGTTTCATGGTACACGGATGAACGGTGTGAAACCGAAATTTTATAAACCGTATATAGAGAAAAATCGCAGCCTCCCTTGGCGCCGCCATTGCAAAATTAAAAAAGGATTTTTTTTTACAGAACCCTTCCCTGAATTGGTCTAATCAATTCCCCCAACGTCTCATGGCTATCGGATAACGGTGTCACACCAAAATAGACATTTATTTTAAATAAATGATTTTTTACAGAACCCTTCCCTAGAGTTTTATAATGAAATCCCCAAAGTTTCATGCCTATCGGATAAACGGTGTCACTGCAATTCACTTTTATTATTTTTATATACCGTATATAGAGAAAAATCGCAGCCTCCCGTGGCGCCGCCATTGCGAAATTAAAAAAGGATTTTTTTTTACAGAACCCTTCCCTGAATTGGTCTAATCAATTCCCCCAACGTCTCATGGCTATCGGATAACGGTGTCACACCAAAATAGACATTTATTTTAAATAAATGATTTTTTACAGAACCCTTCCCTAGAGTTTTATAATGAAATCCCCAAAGTTTCATGCCTATCGGATAAACGGTGTCACTGCAATTCACTTTTATTATTTTTATATACCGTAAATAGAGAAAAATCGGACCCTCCCGTGGCGCCGCCCTTGCGAAATTAAAAATTATATTTTTTACAGAACCCTTCCCTGAATTGGTCTAATCAATTCCCCCAACGTCTCATGGCTATCGGATAACGGTGTCACACCAAAATAGACATTTATTTTAAATAAATGATTTTTTACAGAACCCTTCCCTAGAGTTTTATAATGAAATCCCCAAAGTTTCATGCCTATCGGATAAACGGTGTCACTGCAATTCACTTTTATTATTTTTATATACCGTAAATAGAGAAAAATCGGACCCTCCCGTGGCGCCGCCCTTGCGAAATTAAAAATTATATTTTTTACAGAACCCTTCCCTGAATTGGTCTAATCAATTCCCCCAACGTCTCATGGCTATCGGATAACGGTGTCACACCAAAATCGACATTTATTTTAAATAAATGATTTTTTACAGAACCCTTCCCTAGAGTTTTATAATGAAATCCCCAAAGTTTCATGCCTATCGGATGAACGGTGTCACTGCAATTCACTTTTATTATTTTTATATACCGTAAATAGAGAAAAATCGGACCCTCCCGTGGCGCCGCCCTTGCGAAATTAAAAATTATATTTTTTACAGAACCCTTCCCTGAATTGGTCTAATCAATTCCCCCAACGTCTCATGGCTATCGGATAACGGTGTCACACCAAAATCGACATTTATTTTAAATAAATGATTTTTTACAGAACCCTTCCCTAGAGTTTTATAATGAAATCCCCAAAGTTTCATGGCTATTGGATGAACGATGCCAAACCAAAATCGACTTTTAGTTTTATATACCTTAAATAGAAAAAAACAAATCGCGTCCTATCGGGGCGCCACCCCGGCGAATTTGAAATATTTTTTTTCGCAGAAACTCCCCAGGAATATTTTCAACAACTTCATAAAGTTTCATGGCGATCGTGTGAACAGTGTCACTGCAATTCACTTTTATTATTTTTATATACGGTATATAGAGAAAAACAAATCGCGTCCTATCTGGGCGCCACCCCTGCGAATTTGAAATTTTTTTTTCCGCAGAAACCTCCCCAGGAATATTCTCAACAACTTCCCAAAGTTTCACCGCGATGTGATGAGAGGTGTAGTAATGCATAAAGGACAAATATAAAGGATAATATATATATATAATATATATAAAGGATAAATATATATATATATATATATTTATGTCATATATATATATATATATATATATATATATATATATATATATATATATATATATATATATATATATATATATATATATATATATATATATGTATGTATATATGTATGTATATATATGTATATATATGTATATATATGTATATACATGTATATGTATGTATGTATATATATGTATATATATACATGTGTATGAGTATATGTATAATATGTGTTATATGTGTTATATGTATATATGTATATATGTATATATGCATATGTGTATATATGTATATATAAATGTATATATATGTATGTATATATATATGTATATGTATATATATATATGTATATGTGTATATTTATATATATATATTTATATATATTTATATATTTATATATATATATATATATATATATATATATATATATATATATATATATATATATATATATATATATATATATATGCAAATATAAACAGTTCATCATACCCTGTCATTATCTCAAGATGTAACTGTCCAGAAACTGTCAGGTAAGTTGGTTGTCTAAAAAAATTATTAGGCCTTGCAGGATCCAATATGCTATCTTTTTTTTTGTGTTCAAGATTCTCACTTTCATTTTGAATTTCTTTTAACAGGTCAGAATTCAGAGGCTAAAATATTAAGATTTGTAAAAAAAAATTTTAAATGTCCATTTTATTTGTGTACTTAAATAACTGAGTTAATTTCTCATATTAAAAACAAAACAGAAATGCATTTGATCACAAACCATATAAAAATTGTAAAAGGTTATACATAAATGATATCAAAATATGGGGGTGGGCATGACAGACATTTGAGAAAATTTGAGACAGAGGACTAAGAGGGTGGATTAGAACTCATGATTCTAAGAAAGTGGATACAAAATTTGTTCATATATCTCAAGTAGTAAATAAACCGGGAGTGATCTCCCCTAAACTTTCTCGAATATTCTTATATAAAATAACAGGGTATGGGAACTCGGGCTATAGACATGATTTTTAATCCATTTTAAATACTTAAAGTTTTTAAAATAGAATAAAATCTCGTAGACAAATTAATTGCACACCAAGTGAACGCCAAATCAAAAAGCCCATAATAGTGCGCAATATTATTAGTACTTTTAAAATTTACATTAGTTTTTTGAGAAATTTTTAAAAATCTCGATTTTTTTTTTGTACGATTACAAGACTTTCTCTATACTTCGTATATACGAGAAAGTAAAAAGTTATGATGTTTTGAAAAGTTGGTTTTTAACTTTTTTTAACACCTTAAAAGGTGCCATGGTTTAGAGGTTATATCTGTAAAAGTATATGTCACAAACACAATCTTTTGAACTCAAAATAAACACACATACACAGAGAACAGACTCATTGTTTTTTCAAACCTCAAAAATAAGTACATCATTTAATGTAATTGAATTGAAATTGGCTTTTCTCACTGTTTGATAAAATTAAAAAGGGAAGTAAAAAACACAAATTTTTTTAAACATCACCAAAAATGTAGGGGAACAACGCTTCTTTGAATTTAAGTAACATTTATACCTATAACAAGTACGTTTGATCAAAAGAATGCATGGGGTCCAAAATATGTCAAAAATGCATCTTTTTAAAAAAATTACAAAAAATGAATTACGACACCTACAGTAGAGCTGGGTACATAGAAATAAAGAATAAATATAGCTCTTAACAGGTAAACAGCCTTTGTATCTGTGACTAATTTATATGCGATCCAATGGTGGCTGAAACAGTGCTAGGGTCACATAAAGAAAACATTTTTTGTTGAAATAATTATTAGTCTCTAGAACCAGTAGACTGCAAACTGTAAATACATCTGCACTCGTGGACTGATCATTTATATGGACACTGTTACAACTTACAGTACAACTACAACTGTAGTAAAGATCTCACTTACACCCCCCCCCCCCCCCCATTCTAGGTAAGTGTTGGAGGCATTAACATAACATCTAGTTAAAATTGAAATTAATGAACACACTAAAACAATAGTTTTTTTTTTTTTTTGTAATGTAAAGTATTTTAAGCTACACATCATGTACTGTTTAGTTTTAAATCATCGCTAAAACTCAAACCATTAATGAACTTGGCCGGGTTTTTAAAATATACCCATATATTGTTGACACTGGCGACGACATGTACGATCACGTGACCTTTTACATTTAACAAATAAAAATAATCAGCTATTCTAAAAAGATTACAAAAATATGTTGTAATTTATTTTCAAAGTACCCTCTGTCAGAAAAGACAAAAATATTTGAACTAAGCAATCAGAAAAAAATAAGACTCCGATACAAAGTGAAGTGGGGTTTAGTTCATCGGATGCTAACATCAATTTAGAAAAGCTTGATGGTGCGTTGTTAACGAGGAGAACGGCCATTTCTTGCGACCAGGCCTAGAGGTATTTTAGTGATCGCTATAGTGTGTTTTGTCAAGCCCTGCCTTTTTGGACCATGCTCAGAAATGATAAACAATTTCAGAGTTTTTAACAGAAAAAAGGACCACCTTTCCGAAAATGCTAATAAAAAATTTATATGATGTCAGAATCACATGCTAATTGTCAAATTTCTTAGTTTTTTTAACATTTATTAAAATATTTATTCTATTATGCATTTTTTGTTTAGTATCTCACTAAAAGCTATTTATTTCTGCACATTTTACAGGTATTTGTAAGGAAATATGTTGAACGGTCAAAAACTGCCAGCGAGTTGAATGGGAAAGGGGTCAAAATCCATTACTCAACTGCTGTTGAAAATCATCTCGGTGATAGTTTTCAATTGGTAAATGAGATATATTGTGTAATATCAACAACTATAAAAATTACGCATCATTAGAGAGCTTGAAATCTACTTTTTAATGGTACCAAGGTTATTACTATACAAGCCTTTTTTATTATAGAAACTATGAAGTGAAAAACTACTATATTTGGGCAACATGGGGGAAAACAGCGTTCTTTACCGCCACTTGACATACCTACTTCTAATGAAGATGTGGCGTGTGGGAAGTGTAACAAATAGACAACCCCTAAGTAGATTTTGATTTTCTAAACAATAATAGAAGATTTTTTAATAGAAGATTTTTTAATACAAGACTTTTTAGAAAAGTGTTAGAGTCAACAGCTGTAAATTTAGTAGCATACCTCAACCGTAAAAACTTCACAAGCTCCTTCACAGTCACTTGATGTCAAAATTGGAGGATGTACTAAAATGAAGTTTTTTTCCTTAAATATAAAGCAAAATAATTTTTATAGTGAAATTTGACAGACAATAAGTCCTAAATAGATCATTTATTTTCTATTAAAACATCATAATGAAATAACACTTTTGAAGAAACATTATTGTTCATGTTGTGTATATATAAATTTTCTGGTAGACTTTGTTCAGGTATTATAAAAATGTAATTATTTAGTAATACTGTCAGAGTGACTTTATATTTCGTCTACAGTATGCTTTATGTTCCTCTAAAATAAACAATTTCAAAATCACAACTTTCAAAGTTATGTTGCATTTTAAAATCAAAGATAACAATAGAAATTTAGACAGGTAAAAATCTGTTGTTTAGGCCTATAGCATTTATATACAAGTAGTTTAGAAAAGGTAATGTTAAAGGGAACGATTAAGTGTGTAGGCCTATGTTACCAGTTTTAACCAAAAATAGAGGTTTTCAACTTTAGGAGGATTACAATACAATTATTAAAACCAGTTTAAAATTTCAAATTAATTCATTAAAACACTAAAACAATATGGAGGTTAAGTTTAAACTTAAAAATTTTTAACATACAAAGTTAAACTTCATAAAAAAATATAATAAAATATGCTATCTATATTATATAATTCTAAGTAAATAAACACAAATACAGTAACTACATATTGAAAAAAAAATAAACAAGGCTACCTGAAAAAAAGAATGTACAGCCATTGTAGCAGCATTACGTATACGCAAAAGACTGCTGAAAATGTTGGTCTTAGGTCGTAAGTGCAGAAAATCTCTAGTATAAGCAGGTGGATGTCTAGTTTTTTGCTTCAAGGGATATTCCTACATATCAAAATTAATGGCACAGATCAGAATTAAAGCTATATTATATTATATAAGAGAACAAATGAAAATTTCTGTTTCTGTCTTAAATTTATTTGTCATCCATCTATATCGGAAATTAAATAGGAATGGAGCCGATTTGGTGATATGATTGCCAACTCTAGTTTCCTTTAGACAGCTCCTGCAACACTGTTTATTCCAAGCTGTACAGGCAAGCTGTGTGGAGAAAGGGCCTGATGTATGGGCACCATCTGGCTCTTCTAAACTTTCCTTTTGACAGCTCCTGCAACACTGTTTATTCCAAGCTGTACAGGCAAGCTGTGTGGAGAAAGGGCCTGATGTATGGGCACCATCTGGCTCTTCTAAACTTTCCTTTTGACAGCTCCTGCAACACTGTTTATTCCAAGCTCTACAGGCAAGCTGTGTGGAGAAAGGGCCTGATGTATGGGCACCATCTGGCTCTTCTAAACTTTCCTTTTGACAGCTCCTGCAACACTGTTTATTCCAAGCTCTACAGGCAAGCTGTGTGGAGAAAGAGCCAGATGTATGGGCACCATCTGGCTCTTCTAAACTTTGTGCTTGGATTTCCAAATTGCAATCATCAGATTGTCAACTAAATATAGTGATTATTATCTATATCTCATCTTGTCTAGTCCTGAAGGTCAGTCAATCAGTACATCGATCTATTTGTATAAATGAGTGTGTGTGTGCATGTATGTATGTATGTGTGTGTGTGTGTATATATATATATATATATATATATATATATATATATATATATATATATATATATATATATATATATATATAGACATTTGACCTTGTCTGCACTAGATCTATAATTCTTGGATCATATCTGTTGGGGCACAGGTTTGCCCATTGCCCACACTACTGCCCAGCATGCCCTGGTGCATGCTGTATATAAGCCTTTATTGTAGGAAAAATCACTTTCCATAATAGTGAGGTGGAACACACGTGGGAGATCACTCAGGTGTTAGAGTGATCACTTGCAGATGCGACACTAACTTGATATTTGGTACGGCGATAGCTCTGACAGGGTTCATGCTCAAAATTTCAAATAACATTGGCGGATGTTTACATTCACGAACGGATGTGACGTCATATGAAAGGACTCTATTGTTTATAGTATCATCCAATCGGATCAACCGCCTAGCCTCACGTGACCACACACTGGGCTATGCCGCACGATGTGTAGATCTCCACAGCAGAGCAATTCAGTCGATGCGTTAATTTTTAATTTCATCCCATTTTAAAACTACTATTCAATGATTGGCCGAACAAATCAAATAATTTCGGTCCGGTTTTCACGGGCTAATGAAATTTCATTAGAATTTTTTAAATTTCAGGAGAATTCCAGGAGGTTTTTACCTTTTTTAAAGATTTCATGAGTTTTCCAGGACCTCCTGGAATTTCAGGAGGCCGCAGGAACCCTGTCTGATGCCGTAGGCACATGAAAAAATACCAGATTCTCAAAAATATCGTATGATGAGGTTGAAATATTACCTCTTTTCCAACAGCCGTGAAAATTAATAATGACTAATACTCTTCTCACGTTAATTTCTCCCAGTCATTTTAACAATGTCATTAACCCAGTTCAATTACCACCTGTCAATTACCCCACCTCCCAGGACACCTCACCAAAGAACCAGGAGGACATTACCTACCCCCAGAAAGTTACCCATCTATATTTTAGAATATATTTACAGTATGGTTAGAACAATATTAAATAAAGCAATTCAGGTTTTGCTTACTTTTATTATGTTCTGCTCGATATTCTCAGCGATTAGACCAATATAAACCGGGAGTGATCTCCCTAAACTTTCTCAAATATTCTTATATAAAACAACAGGGGATGGGAACTCGGGATATAGTTGTAATTTTTAATCCTCCATTTTAAATACTTAAACTTTTTAAAATAGAAGAATCTCATAGAAAAAATAATTGCGCACCAAGCGAACGCCAAAACAAAATGTTTTAAAGAGTGCAACAGACTATGGATAAGTTGGGGTATTACAGTCATTTACTAAGTTGTGTTTGCATTTTTGTTTGTGTTTACATTTGTGTTGTGGTTTGTTAGTTTCCTAAACCTGGGCAATGCCGGGTACATGCTGCTTAATAAATACACAAGTCATGGTCATTTACAGATAGGTTTTTCACAAGAGGCCAGTGCAGGGCCTGGACAGGACGGCAAGTATAAATAATGTAACCAGAGGCTCCCAAGATCCAAGAAAATATTGAGCCAGCAAACAGGGTTACAAGTCTAAAAATACATAATTGGTAAGACGTTGATGCAATCCTTTCAAAATATGTCAGTTTGAATCTTATTTCCTCAGAGATTAAAATTCAAGCAATGCATAGCAGGTATGCTAGTGAAGCATAAAAGTGTATTCAGAGTTTCTTCCAGGCCTCCCCCCCCCCCCAACAAAATGGAATTTATATAGAAAACATACTTTTACCAGTGTCCTCATCCTCCCCTCCCCCCCTGGAAAATGTTGTCCGTTCCCCCCCCCCCCCCCCCCCCCCCCAAAAAAAAGTGCACACCCGCAGAAAAAAAATCTGGAAGAAACACTGAGTGTATTTATAATTTACTATAAATAGGAAATTAAAAAATGTTTAGTTGCAAGAAGAAATGAAAGTGACTTATCATACATACTTACAAAAACATCACATGGGCCAACAACAACACAAGAACTGGTAAGTAGTTCTATTTCTTGATGTCTTCCTTCACTCTCTTTTAATACCCCATCAACTTTAACACAGCTGCCAAATGTTAATGCAGCATCTTTTGCAAGTTTCTGCGGAATAACTACTTGAAGATGATTTGGCCCAGACCCGTCGTTTATTTGGAGAAATGTAACACCTTTATGGTGCTGCAGGTTTTTAACCCAGCCCTAAAAAAATTTATTTAAGTAAGGTTAAATAGTTTTGTGGACATCAATAAATGAACAATAATTTATTTTCATTAAATTTCTATTTTACTAACAGGACTCCCCCTAATTGTGTTCTGTTTTGTGAAAAAAATGTATTCAGTCAAAATATTTTTCAGATCAGATTATTATATATTTTCGGTTTTACCATGCTGTAAGTTATATCATTCTCAGAGAAAAACTTGACTGATCAATATCATAATGGGTATATCAGAATGTTAGATAGTAACTAAATGTACATATGTTAATTAACTTTTTTGTAGGCCTAGGGCTAATTATTTAGGCCTACTGTATAGCAATTTTATACCAGGATTTATGTTTTAAATGATATGAAAATCTCTATCTAAGCCCTAGATTCTAGATCTATATGTTTTTTAACAATTTAATTAGGCCTAAACCTTTCCTATATTCTTCATCATTCTGTGCCATGCTTTCTATGGTTCCAGATATTGTTTTTAAATTGGCTTCTCTTCTCTTTTCAATGAGATTCCAAGTATCATTTGAGATCTATTCCTTTCTTTGTTTCTTCCTATGCTATTAAAAAAAAGAAGCAAGAAGGCCCAGGAGAGGACAGAATCACACTGGAGATGCTAAAAGCAGACCCAGAAATAGGTGCACAAACTTTATCAGGGATGTTCAATAAAATATGGAATGAAGAAAAAGTGCCAGACTCGTGGAAACGGGGAATCATCATCAAATTACCCAAAAAAAGGCGACCTAAATGTTTGAGAGAACTGGAGAGGCATTAACCTTTTGTCTTATTACAAAGAATGTGGAAAGGAATCTATGCAATCCTTCGTGAAGAGCAAGCTGGCTTCAGGGCCAACAGGTCATGTAATGACCAAGTATTTGTGTTGAGCACCATAGTAAAACAGTCACTGGAATGGAACCCGTCTTTCTGCATCAACTACAGAGATTTTGAGAAGGCATTTGATAGCATCCACCATCCATCACTATGGAAGATACTAGATTTATATTGCTTTCCAGGAAAAGTCACAAACATTCTCAAGAACAAACATGTACTCCATTGCGTGTGACATGAAAATCAGCAAAGTGAATGGTTCAAGGTAAAAACTGGAGTCAAACAGGGCTGTGTCATATAAGGATTTACAATGTACGTTCTGTACTCCTCTATGCTGCAAAGTCATGGAATCTAAACAAGACAGTAGAGAGCCGCCTTAGAGGCTTTGAAAGAAGATCCCTCCAACATATTCTCAGGATAAAGTGGGACGACAAAATCCAGAACAAGAAAATACCGCGAAGGACAGGCTTAAACAACATAGTCTCAGAAGAACGAATGAGGAGATGGCGATGGCTGAGTCATGTCCTTCGCATGACCAGAAGAAGACTCCCGAACATAGTGCTAAAATGAAAGAGAGGAAGACCACTGGGAACATGGAGGATAGATATGGAAGAAGAAGTGTAGGCTACTGGCATGAATTGAAGTGGTTCGCCCAAGATAGACTGGAATGGCAAAGATTTGTTGCTGCCCTATAATCCACAGGGAGTGACGAGGATTAAGTAATAAAACTTTTCAGTAATAGAATCTATAAGCCTAAATATAGATCTACTACTACTATCAGGCCAAGTAATAGTAATTTAAATCAATTTAATAGCAAATCTTGCTCTTAAACGCTGCTGTGCTGTTTAAACTTTATTTCTGGTTACTGATCTAAAAATTCTAGAAAAATCAAGATCTAGAAATTCTAGAAAAAAACTAGATCTAGAAATTCTAGAAAGATCTAGATATCTTTCTTTCACATTACACTTACAGTTAGATTACAATAGTACTAATCAATAGTGGGCCTAAATAATAGTAATGGTATATTAAATATAGGCCAGAAATAAACTTTAAACAGCAGTGTTTGAGAGCAAGATTTGCTATATAAACAGCCATCTGTTAATTAGAGTGGTTTCCCCTGAATCTCTCATTACAATTTTACCAAAAAAAAAAAAACTAAACTAGATGGCTGCTAAACTGCTAAAATAATTACTTAATACTTAAATACTAGAATTAAATAGGCTATTAAAATATAATTTTAAAAATATTTTGTAGGCCTACTTAACTAGATTTCTTTGCTAGCTATACTACATACTATAAACCCTCAACCTCTGACGATCCGCCCTAAGCGCAACTGCTCGACCACATGGTACATATAGTTTTGTCAGATGAATAAAGCTAAATGAGTAATTGATCCCATTGTGCAGCTATAATGATGGGTGTTGGGAAATTGCGAGATGCGAAAATGCGAGAAGGGTGCGAAAACGGTCGGTCATGTGACTTTTTGTCTTGCATATTACCACAACCCGATACTTACGCTGGATGGTGTTAAAATGCGAAGATTTCTGCGAAAAATTTACCGCACCCGATTTACAGTGGTTTTTTGTGCAGGCTTCAAAAACGTTTCGTTTACATTGTTAAAACTTCCGATTTTTCCGTCGCTAGACATACTGATGATTTGTGAACTTCCCCCACCTTTTGTGTCGACTTAGAATACCACCTTGTTCGAAACCGCCCGAAATACCGCCGACGATAGATCATCTTCTTTCTTTTGTGTGGAACGCCGAAGCCGCCTGATTTACCGTCTTTGAAGATCACCGTGCCCCAATCCGCTGCCACCGCAAAAATATTTTGTATTATTGCATAGAAATTTTGTATTATAGTCGCCGCCAGTGTTGTGTGTAGGATGAACGGGGAGGTCACCTGTGACATGTTGTGAGTGTGGATTGGAAGAAGTAGCCAAAGAAAAATGTATAAATGGGAGTCTAGTGAACTGGATTAGATGTACTATGTGTGAAAGATGGTGTCACAAGGTGTGTTTGAGTAGTGCTAGGACTATTTCAGAAAATTTTGTTTGTGAATTTTGTTTGTAATTAAAATTACTTAATAAAAAATAAATTACACTTTTTAGAACTGTTTATACTTTTACACTTTTTGCAAGTACAACAATCCATGAATACATGTTGCAGAATATCTCTCCTGCTGACAAGATTATACCAGTTCACAATGACACAGCTCAAGTTTGTATAAACATGAGCGGGCTAGATTTTTAAAATTAATGCTGACTGAGACGGGATTTTCCTCTGGCTTACGTGAGCGCGCGATGACAGTAGCACAGCAACAATGTTAGGATTTTTTAATAGATAGATCTATATCTAGATCTATCTTCTTAGAATCTATCTATATATATATATGATGAAATCTAGATTAAAAAAATAACAACATACAACACTCGTGTTAAAGGGTATGGCTACATGCTTGATTATTTTAAAACAAAAAAAATAATTTAAATAAATAAAGATGAAAAAAGCATGAAAAAAACTTTTTTTTTTCGTAAAAGGTGTCTCTCTATTTACCCTTGATTCCGCAGGTATGTCTCGCATTTTCCCGCCTCGCCATTTTGCTTTTCGCGTCTCGCAATTTCCCAACACCCTATAGTGATTCAATTGTTGTGCAGCTAGAATAGAATAAATTGAGTCCATTGTGCAGCTATTAATAATAGTAGGCCCCTATTTAATTTGAGCCCATTGTGCAGATATTTACGTTATTGTGTTCATTATTTTTGCATCTTTTGCCGGCCAGATAGCACTTGGGGGAAAAATCTTTTTCTGAGTAGTCAATGTAACCTAAGTATTTATCAAGTTAATCCATCCCATGTGCCATCAAGACAACATATAGGCCTTAACCCTGAACATGTAGATGACAAGAAAAACCAGGTAATCTTTTTTCCGGCTAGAATCAGCCAATATTATTGTTTAGGCCTAATTCTAGATCTCTATACTCTGAGTCTATAGTATCCGCCTATCCATAACTTTTATTTATTTTATGAATATCTTTTTGTTTTAGGACCGTAAAATCAGCTGAAGACTAGATCTACTAGAATCTAGAACTAGCATCTGAATCTAGACTAGATCTAGGATTCTAGGTTAATAATCTATGACTAAGAGTAGAATATCTAGTCTAGATTCTCTAGAGATCTAGCTAGGCTGATGGCTGATACTAGTCTAGATTAACATAACGGTAAAACTCCATTTTAGCGTATTTTATTCTTCGCTTGTCGTTTATCTCCAGTTGAGCGTATTTTATTATAATAACCGAAACACACCAAAACATTAGGAAAACACAATTTATTTATTTGTATTGTATTGTTGTTTTCACAAATGAATAAAAAGGAATATTTAAAAAACACGACTTGTTTATTTGTATTGTATTTTTTTAAAGGCATTTGTCGCATGGTGAAACTGATACACTGTTAATTATTCTGTATGATATTTTTGTATTTGTATCTGTGTTTTTTTAATTAGACAGTTTTGCCAAAACTGAAAAAAAATATTTTACCGTTTTTGATAGATTTAATGTTAAAAATACCTAACTAAGTATGAAGATGTGTGGTCGAGCGGTCATTGGGAGTGGCTGCCGTGCCAGAAAGTTTGGGTTCAAATCCATCAGATGCCCTATTGCTATGACTCTTATGCCTCTCACTTCATATTAAAATATTTTTTCAGTTACTTAAGTTACTCATTGAAGGGTTACTTTTGTTAATTTTTTTTTGTGACGTAATTGTTGGCATATCAGAAAAAAAAAAAAAAAAGAGAAAAAATACGAAAGTGTGATGGAAACTGTGAATTATAGCTGATGAAAAAGGACATCCTATTTCACCTGATATTTATTCTATGTGATAATGTGAATTTTTAATGATAATTGATAAGTGATTAGCAATGTGAACAACCAACTAAACTTTACCAAACTGATGCTTAATTAGTATTATTTATATAAAAATTACTAGATCTATTATTCTAGTGAATAGATTTAGAGTGCATAATTGATCATCTATGACCTACGTAGCCTGTAGCAGATATGCCTGATATGAGCCTAAAAGCAGTAGCGTAGCGAGGGGCGGGGGCCATATGTCCCCGGGCGCCGAGCTTAGGGGGCGCCAAAATGGGTTGGAAAAATAAATTGAAAGGTTGAGGGGGGTGCAAATTGAAATCTCGAGGGGGTGGGGTGCAAATCGAAAAGTTTGTCCCCGGGCGCCGGGAATGGTCGCTACGCCTCTGCCTAAAAGCTAAACTAAACTTTAATTGTAATAACTTTTTTATAACAAAATAAAAATAGCACTGCTCTCTTAATTTATACCTCATTCCCCAGTCACAATAATTGCTTTAATTATTTTAAGATATTATTCACAGTCGTATTTAGCATGAAATGACAGCCGACTGTGAATAGCCGTATTGGGGCTATTCACAGTCGGCTGGGAATAGCCCCAATACGGCTATTCCCAACCGGCTGGGAATAGCCTTGGCCAATATTAAATTCGTGTTTTCCTAATGTTTTGGTTATTATAATAAAATACGCTCAACTGGAGGTAAACAAGCAACGGAGAATAAAATACGCTAAATAAAATGGAGTTTTACCTAACATAACACAACACTAAGTAATTAAGAGTTAAGAGTAGTATAGGCCCTACTTATTTAATATTTATACTAGGCCTACCCTAATGTATAACATTTTCTGATTAAAATCATTACCACTAAACTAATGATTAGGCCTAATTAGATTAATTACCTTTACACTGACATGTTGCTCTATCTTTTTATCAATGATAATATTGTGTATACTCTCTGTGAAATTTCTTTTTTTCATACACGACCACGTCCTAAAATTTGGTGATAGATCTACTTTAACTTTATGAATATGAGAGGAAAAAAATGACTTAAGAGCACAACAAGCTGCCATTTTGAAAAAGATTGTCTAGACTTAGAATCTAGATCTAGATTTAGATAATCCTCGTCCTATAGATCTATCTACTAATATCTAGATATTATTATTATTAGATCTAGATCTAGATATCTAGGAATAGATAGAACATAGAATGTATTTCCTATTTCATTTTCATACCTTTATTTATAGAGAGGTACGGTAAAAGTAAAATACGAAAAGCGAGATAATGAGCGAGAAGAAATTATGGGTTGATAGTTGATAGATCTAGATTCTCTCTAGATTCTAGAATTGTAGGGGGAAAAGTCACAGGAAAAATAAAACAGGAAAAAACCAGCAAAAACTCACAGGGAAAAAAATCACAAATGTGTATTTGCGTGGATTTTGTTAATATTGTTATGTATTAAATTTAAATATTCAGAAAGTGCAAATCAACTTAGATTAATTAAATTTAATTAGCCTGTACTGTAGGCTATATTGCGTGTGCGTAGGTTGTATAAGAATAAATCTAGTAGGCCCCTTATCTATCTATGAGTATCTAGATCCATCCATCCATCCATCCATCCATCCATCCATCCATCCATCCATCCATCCATCCATCCATCCATCCATCCATCCATCCATCCATCCATCCATCCATCCATCCATCCATCCATCCATCCATCCATCCATCCATCCATCCATCCATCCATCCATCCATCCATCCATCCATCCATCCATCCATCCATCCATCCATCCATCCATCCATCCATCCATCCATCCATCCATCCATCCATCCATCCATCCATCCATCCATCCATCCATCCATCCATCCATCCATCCATCCATCCATCCATCCATCCATCCATCCATCCATCCATCCATCCATCCATCCATCCATCCATCCATCCATCCATCCATCCATCCATCCATCCATCCATCCATCCATCCATCCATCCATCCATCCATCCATCCATCCATCCATCCATCCATCCATCCATCCATCCATCCATCCATCCATCCATCAAACTTCCCGAAGTTTCATGGCGATGTGATAAGAGGTGTGGTAATGCATAAAAGACACACAGACACAAACATACATTGCTTTATATATATATATATATATATATATATATATATATATATATATATATATATATATATATATATATATATATATATATATATATAAAGCAATGTATGTGTGTGTCTGTGTGTCTTTTATGCATTACAACTCCTCTTATCACATCGCCATGAAACTTCGGGAAGTTGTTGAGAGTATTCCTGGGGAGGTTTCTGCGAAAAAAAATTCAAATTCGCAGGGGTGGCGCCCCGGTAGGGCGCGATATGTTTTTTCTCTATATACGATATATAAAAATAAAAGTCTATTTTGATTTCACCCCGTTTTATCCGATAGGCATGAAACTTTGGGGAGTTGATTAAAACACTCTAGGGAAGGGTTCTGTACAAAAATCATTTTTAATTTCGCAAGGGCGGCGCCACGAGAGGGTGCGATTTTTCTCTATATACGGTATATAAAAATAATAAAACTGAATTGCCGTGACACCGTTCACAAGATCGCCATGAAACTTTAGGAAGTTGTTGACAATATACCTGGTTAGGTTTCTGCGAAAAAAAAAATATTTAAAATTCGCAGGGGTGGCGCACCGACACGGCGCGATTTGTTTTTTTCTATATACGGTATATAAAAATAAAAGTCGATTTTGGTTTGGCATCGTTCATCCGATAGCCATGAGACTTTGGGGAATTCATTATACCACTATAGGGAAGGGTTCTGTGAAAAAATAATTTTTAATTTCGCAAGGGCGGCGCCACGGGAGGGTCCGATTTTTTTTCTATTAACGGTGTATAAAAATAATAAAAGTGAATTGCAGTGACACAGTTTATCCGATAGGCATGAAACTTTGGGGAGTTCATTATAAAACTCTAGGGAAGGGTTCTGTAAAAAAATCATTTTTAATTTCGCAAGGGCGGCGCCACGGGAGGGTGCGATTTTTCTCTGTATACGGTTTATAAAAATACGTCGATTTTGGTGTGACACCGTTATCCGATAGCCATGAGACGTTGGGGGAATTGATTAGACCAATTCAGGGAAGGGTTCTGTAAAAAAAAATCCTTTTTTTTTTAATTTTGCAAGGGCGGCCTCACGGGAGGCTGCGATTTTTCTCTATATATGGTTTATAAAAATAAAAGTCTATTTCGGTTTCACACCGTTCATCCGTGTACCATGAAACTTTGGGGAGATGATTAGATCACTCAATGGTAGGGTTCTGCAAAAAAATGTTTATTAATATTGCAAGGGCGGAGCCCCCGGGGGGAGCGATTTTTTTTCTATACACGGTATATACAAAATAAATCTCTGATGCGGTTCATCCGAGTGCCATAAAACTTTAAGGAGTAGATGAGAATACTTTCGAGAATATTTCTGCGAAAAAGAAAACTAAAGTTTCTTATGGGCGGCGCCATGTTGGGTACAATTTTCGTCAATACACGGTTTGGCGCCTAAAGTTTTAGAGCGAGTATGTTGGCACTTGGCATCCGTTAATCGAGCGTCCTGCATAGCGAGTAAGGGGTACTACTATATTCAGCGGTAAAACTTCAACATGCTTCTAAAAATAACTTTGTAACGCGAGGAAATCCTTCTGTACAGTTTCGTCACCTTGCGAAAGATGAAAAAATAACTTTTTGAATATGAGGAGCCTACTGTAGAGTTTCGTCACTTTGCGAATGATGCAATAAGCATCTATTATTAGACGATCCAGTCAGAAATTGAGATCGAGCATCTAATAGTAGACCATTAGTAACGCTAGCATATTGCATCAGTCACACTGATGTTTAAAACACGTCAAATAATTTTTTTAAGTGTTAAAGAAAAAAACCTGTTCATTAGTGTCACTTTAGTGAATGACGAAATCTGCATCATTATTAATTAACAGGATACTATTTGGCACGATGGTGCCTGTTAGTTTTAAGGGGCCAGGGGTCGTACGCCGCGCCTTTGCGTTAGTGTAATCGGGGGGTGGGGGCCATTAGAGCGCCCCTCTACGTCTCTGACACATAGGCGGTCACCGAAGTGTGTTCTACCATATTATTTCGGTGAGTGATTAATGTACACCCAATGTTTTCATGCGGTAGTGTAGGTAAACCCGTGTCCCGATATTTATGATCCAAGCGCAGGCATTGTTTACATTTAAATAACTCACTTTTAGAAAAGACGGTCACGCGTCTAAGAACATATGATTGGCAACGCGTTGGTAAAATCCTTCTAATATATGTCGTCAAACTTTCTTCTATCCCCGCGGCAACGTGCGGGGGACGGGTACGCTAGTAATATATAAAGCAATGTGTGTGTTTGTTTGTTTGTTTGTTTGTCTGTCTGTCTTTTTTGCGTTACTACACCTTTCATCCGATCGCCATGAAACTTTGGGGAGGTTTCTGCGGGAATTTTTTTTTCAAATTCGCAGGGCGCGATTTGTTTTTTCTCAATATACGGTATATAAAAATAAAAGTCGATTGCAGTTTCACACCGTTCACCCGATTGCCATCAAACTTCGGGGAGTTGATCAGAACACTCCAGGGAAGGGTTCTGCAAAAAAATATTTTTTAATTTCGCAAGTGCGGCGTATCGGGAGGGTGCGATTTTCCTCTACATGCGGTATATAAAAATTATAAAAGTGAATTGCAGTAACACTTTTCACACGATCGCCATGAAACTTTGGGGAGTTGATAAGAAAACTGCAGGGAAGGGTTTTGCAACAAACAAAAAAAATTTCGTACGGGTGGCGCCCCGGGAGAGTGCGACTCTGCTCTATATACTGTATATTAAAAAAATGAAAGTCAAATGCGGTTCGACACCTTTTATCCGAGTGCTATAAAACTTTAAGGATTTGATGAGAATATGCCGGGAAGGTTTCTGTTAACAAAATATATCGGGAGCCGCTTTGTCGAGAGCCAATATGTCCTGAGCCTATTTGTCGGGAGTCAATATGACGGGAGCACATTTGACTGGAGCCAATAGTCGGGGCCATTTTGACTGGGTTGTTTTGTCGGTGGGCGATTTGACCGGGTTATATTAACGAGGCCGACACAGTACAAAGGCTGTTTTTATGCAAAACGTATACAACACACAATATAGATTACTGAGGGGCAATGCCGCCGCCAGGTTATTTGGCGCCCTAGGCAAAACTTATTAAAGCGCCCCCCCCCCCCACCCCGACCCCGCAACTTTTTTTTTCCCGGACCCATATTATATGTGTAATATGTAAATATAATATGAAATTAGTTAGGTGGTTTAATTTAATATTTGGTGAGACAGTTTACTAATATGTAAATATATATTATATATACATACTAGCGTACCCGACCCCCACGCGTTGCCGCGGGGATAGAAGAAAGTCTGACGAAATATATTAGAAAGATATCACCAATGCATTACCAATCATTTGTTTTTAAACGCGTGACGTCTTTTCTAAAAATGAGTTATTTAAATGTAAACAAAGCCTCCGCTTGGATCATAAATATCGGGACACGGGTTTACCTACTTTACCGCATGAAAACATTGAGTGTACATTAATCACTCACCGAAATAATATGGTAGAACACACTTCGGTGACCGCCCATGTGTCAGAGACATAGAGGGGCGCTCTCAGGGCCTCCACCTCCCGATTACACTACCGCATAGGCGCGGCGTACGACCCCTGGCTCCCTAAAACTAACAGGCGCCATCGTGCCAAATAGCCTCCTGTTAATAATGATGCAGATTTCGTCATTCGCTAAAGTGAAACAAATGAACAGGATTTTTTTTACACACGTAAAAAAATTATTTGACGTGTTTTAAACATCAGTGTGACTGATGCAATATGCTAGCTTTACTAATGGTCTATTATTAGATGCTCGATCTCAATTTCTGACTGGATCGTCTAATAAGAGATGCTTATTGCATCATTCGCAAAGAGACGAAACTCTACAGTAGGCTCCTCATATTCAAAAAGTTATTTTTTCATCTTTCGCAAGTTGACGAAACTGTACAGAAGGATTTCCTCGCGTTACAAAGTTATTTTTAGAAGCCTGTTGTAGTTTTACTGCTGTTGTGTTTTTTATATACCGTGTATAGAGAAAAAAAATCGCTCCCCCCCCCCCCCCCGGGGGGCGCCGCCATTGCAATATTAAAAAAATATTTTTTTGCAGAACCCTACCATTGAGTGATCTAATCATCTCCCCAAAGTTTCATGGTACACGGATGAACGGTGTGAAACCGAAATAGACTTTTATTTTTATAAACCGTATATAGAGAAAAATCGCAGCCTCCCGTGGCGCCGCCCTTGCGAAATTAAAAAATGATTATTTGTTTTACAGAACCCTTCCCTGAATTGTTCTAATCAACTCCCCAAAGTTTGATGGCGATCAGATAAATGGTGTAAAACCAAAATCGACTTTTATTTTTATATACCGTATATTGAGAAAAATCCCACCATTCCGTAGCGCCGCCCTTGCGAAATTAAAAAAAAAAAAGATTTTTTTACAGAAACCTTCCCTGGAGTGTCCCAATCAACTCCCCCAAAGTCTCATGGCTATCGGATAACGGTGTCACACCAAAATCAACTTTTATTTTTATATCCCGTATAGTGAGAAAAATCGCACCCTCCCGTGGCGCCGCCCTTGCAAAATTAAAAATTATTTTTTTACAGAACCCTTCCTTAGAGTGTTATTATGAACTCCCCAAAGTCTCATGGCCAGCAGATGAACGATGTCAAACCAAAATCAACTTTTTATTTTTATATACCGTATATAGAGAAAAACAAATCGCGCCCTGCCGGGGCGCCACCCCTGCGAATTTGAAAAATTTTTTTCCGCAGAAACCTCCCCAGGAATATTCTCAACAACTTCCCAAAGTGTCACGGCGATGTGATGAGAGGTGTAGTAATGCATAAAGGACACACAGACACACAGACATACATTGCTTTTTATATATATAGATTATATGTATGGTTCCCATTAAGAAGCGCAACGGAAAAAAGCCACAAACAAAAAGCGCAAACACAAAAAAGCGCAAAGAGTAAAAAGCACACAGAAATTTCCGCTTATAGAAAAAGTATCGGCGACGGTCGTTAGTTTCGTAAACTGCACTAGACATCTTTTTCTTTTAATGAAAATTCATTGACATCATTGACATATGTTACATCTTTTGCGACAGCCTTAACTAGTGCGTTGGGCTTGTATGAAAGCTCACTTAGAACTAACTCAATTATATCCTATTTATTTTTACATTACAAGGTAAACGCCACCCAACTGTTGTGATGAGAGGACAGGGGCGACAATAAATATAATTAACTTCTTTAATGTTTGAAAGTACGAACGAGACCTAGACTGCCTATTAGAGAATGGACCGCCAAACATTCCTAACCCCAACATTTATACCCTACCTAACCTCTAAATTTCCTGCGCTATATGTCACTTCCCTCCCAATCGTTCCTATTCTACAGAATTATGTGTACTATTTATTTACATTCTTTAATCTCAATATAACTAAAATAGACTATAGTTTGAAGGGTAATGATTACCTGTAAACAAAAGGGTCGCTACTCTAAATCTATGCGAATACTTATATGTAACAATCCTAACACAAACCAAAGCATATACTGAACGGCTACATGACATTCCCACCCCCCCGGACATTCCCCCCCCCCCCGGATATTTACCCCATATTTACCACAACCCCCCGGAGCAATTACCCCCCTGTCAATTACCGCACCCATCCACCATTCCAACAAGATAGAATCCTGATTGTAAATCGTACTCTATATATAACCATAATTCTTACCATAAGACAAAGAATCGTTCAGCCTCTCTCCGATTGTGTCGATGAGAATAAAACCCTTTGGTGGTTTCACTAAAATACTAGCCTAAATAAAATTATTACGTTAGCTTAAAAGACATAAATTTCGTGACAGATTTTCTTTTCTTTTTCGCCATGCTTTATTTAAGTCACTTTCATGTGCTGGTAGCTTAAAATAAAACTTGTTTAGGAAGTTTATTTCTTTGTCCCTTTCATAATGTTGCAAATATGAGTAAGACGCGTATTATTAAAATTAAATAACTGCCATGAATAATCATTTGCATTTTTTTTGGGTATTTCTTTTCCTTGAACTGTGAAAGCCACAGAATATGGTATCTCAAATTTTGCTTGTAACTCAAAGCGAAATGTTACTCGCTCACCTGCTCGTATTTAAAAAATCTCGTATGTCTAGGCACTAGAATGTTGACATACCACTGGATCTACTATGTATTGAAAGAAAACAAAATAATTATAGAATAACAGGCCTATAATATAGGCCAATATAGTAATACATTATTTTGTTCAGCCTACTAATATAAATAATTAAATAGACCTAAAGTAGTACTAGATATTAGATAAGAAATCGCTAGTTCAGTCAGAGAATCATGAGCAATGAATAAGAATGTCATTCGTGTATTGTATCGACTTATTTTTATTAAAAAAAACAGATCACATCTTATACATTAAGGCAGGGGTCTCCAAACTTTTCAGCCCGAGGGCCGCATTAACTATCAAAAATCAGTCCGGGGGCCAGTTTTTTTCCAGGCATCTCTTCAGGGTTGTAGAGCCCCTCAGCCCCCGAAAATGTCTGCCCCCCCCCCCCCCAAATATAAATTATATATAAATATATACAAATTTCAAGTGTCGTCGTCAACCCCCACCCCCGGAGAAAAAAGTCTGAAAGAAACACTGTCGGGGGCCAACAACACACTCCAGGTCCGATTTGTTCTCAAATCGTTCTTCGCGTATTTCATTTTTGAAAATGTTTGTTAAACCAGGTATGATATGTTGTTGCAAAATTTGATACTTTGATGCAAGTTTTAGAAAAGCCTTCTTGGTCAAAAACGTTTTTAAAAAAACCCACCCGTCCTTCTTTGAACTAGTCTCTAAAGAGGTCATTTGCTTGCAATTCAATGACCTCCAGCTGCAGTTCATCTGGGCAACTGGCTACATTTTCTTCAAATGGGTTTTGAAACCGTCTCAGTTCTCCCTTTGAATCCAAATCCGAAAATCCCCACTGAAACTGCAGCTGGAGGTCTTTGATCATGAGCGGGGGGGGGGGGGGGGGGCAGCTGTTGCTTACGCCTTGAAGACCTATATGAAGTTATAATCAGCAAATGTTTTTTTTCAACTCATTGAATATATCATCTCCGGTAACAGTGCTATACATGTTATGTAGGGAAGCCAGCTTTTGTGTTATGTTCATGTCTTCATCCACACTTCTAATAAACACAAGCAGTTGAGAGGTGGAACATCTGTCCAGCGACTCATCTATTACAATTGAAAAATTGCGAAACTTGAGTCAACATGTTTTCACCAATATCTGCAACACGGTGGGCAACGGTAGTTGTACCAAAAGCTACATTTTGTAATTGTTTTGAAATTTCTGGGCAAAGTTCCTCAGCCACCTCTAACAAACATTTTTGTCCGTGGACAAAAAGATCTCCGCGGGCCGGATGAGAGGACCTCGCGGGCCGCATTCAGCCCGCGGGCCGTAGTTTGGAGACCCCTGCATTAAGGGCTCAATAAAATAAAAATAATTTATTTAGGCCTATGACATATTTGTATTGGGACTCAATTATAATAAATAGGAGATTTGAAATTCTAAATGAAAAATAAATTATTAATTAGATCTACAATAGGCCTAGTAGGCTAAATCTATTTTAGTATTTAAATTTAAGGCTCAGCCATCTACTAAAAATATTATAGTTATAAAATGGCCTACTTAATTATAATTACTAATTTAATTTGGCCTAAGTTAAAACTAGATCAAGCCTATTTTATTAGTAGAAATAGTATGAGCCATTAGTTACGATGTTATGGCCTTATGTAAATTAATGTAATCAGTGTAAGTTATTATGATATTGATTGAGCATATATTATATAATATCGGATAGAGGCCGCACTCTCTTAGTTATTAATCTATTAGGTCTTACAAGTAGTTTTAGACTATTCATATATTATATAGGCTAAATTATTTAAATTAGGCCAAATGCCTAATTTTAAATTATTAGGAAAGGCTTATTAGGCTTTAGTTTTTAATTACGCATCAGGGCAGAGGCTTAATGTTGCTTATAGATTTAATTTTAATTTTTTATGCTATACGCTACTCTGCGGCTATCACTATAGAGTATATTATAGCCTAGGCCTATCTAGATATATAAATAAAATAGTTAAACTCACTTAGCTTACCATAATTTTTTAAAATGATGTTTAGTTAAGTATTCAGCTCTCTATGTCCTCTAAGGTCCAATACTGTCAGATCTATTATTTATTTAATAGCCTAATTAGACCTAATTATAGGAATTAACTGCCATCCGGTGTTAGAGCCTTGTCGTGGCTTGGCAGCTTCTGTATCCTGACCACCCCCAGAGCTATACCAGCGGGAGTGTAAACTCCTGGTAGGTTCAACCAAGCTGGGAAGGTCTGCGCGGGTAGGGATCAGACCCTGGTCCTCCAGGTTGGGGGTTGAAACATAAGGCTAGCAACCTTATCTCGTAAAAAAACATACCGCTACAGAAACTGCAAGTACACAAATCCAACACCGACTTGGTCAAGGGGGATCCTCTCTAGAAGAGCCCATGATGTCTACTAGTGAAAGCCTAACGAAAGCTAGTTTGCTGACAAATCTCCTAACGCCCAAAAACAAAACCAGATTAGGGACCTGGGACATCAGAACCCTATATGAAAGCAGCAGATCAGCCCAGGTCGCCAAAGAAATGAGGAGGTATAAATTAAAGGTCCTAGGACTAAGTGAGACACGATGGAACGGCAGTGGCCAAACTAGGTTGGTCTCGGGAGAGACTGTCGTCTACTCAGGTCACGAGGACGAAGATCATAAACACACGCAAGGTGTAGCCATAATGATGTCTCCAGAAGCAACAAATGCTTTGATTGCATGGGAGCCAGTCTCACCACGACTCATAGCAGCTCGTTTCAATGCCAAGGGAAGGAAAACAACTTTAATCCAGTGCTATGCACCCACAAATGCTGCAACAGATGAAGAGGCTCAAATCGACAAATCACCAAAAAGATATATAAAGATAGTAATGGGAGACATGAATGCCAAAGTTGGAACAGAAAATAAAGAACGGGAGCTCACAATGGGGAAAAATGAAATAGGCATAATAAATGAAAACGGGGAACTCTTTGCTGATTTCTGCGCATTTAATGATCTAATTATAGGGGGGACAATTTTCTCTCATAAAGATATACATAAGACCTCCTGGACGTCACCAGATGGCAAAACAAAAAACCAAATTGATCACATCACAGTTTCCAGAAAGTGGATAAGAAGTTTAATGGATTAGGACGAAACGAGGTGCAGATGCAGCCTCAGACCACCAACTCGTGGTTGCGATATTAAAATTAAAACTAAAATCCTACAGGGATCGAGCTAATAAACCGCACCATTCAATACAACATTTCTTAAGTGTCCAAAAATAAAGGAAGACTTTAACTGCGCAGTAAAAAATAGGTATGAAGGACTCTCCAGCCTGGCAGAGGATACAGTAGAGGAAACAGTAGAGCAAAAATGGCAAGGAATACAGGAACTATGGAAGTCAACATGCACTGACATATTGGGGAGAAGAAAAAAAAAAGACAAAAAACGACACAGGAATCCAGTGGAGTTTCACAAAAAGGTTGGAGGATCTTGATTTTGCCGATGACATCTGCCTACTATCTCCTAAGCATCAACACACGCAAGCCAAACTAAATCAGCTGTCTGAAGAAGCCTCCAAAATTGGACTAAAAATCAATAAAAACAAAACAGAGGTCATCAGAATCAATAACAGCCAGGACCTGCCGATACAGCTAAATGGAGAAGATTTACGAGAAACACATTCACATATCTGGGAAGCGTGATCAATAAGGACGGGGGAGCAGACGAGGACATAAAATGCCGTATCAACAAGGCTAGATGTGCCTTCAACTCGCTGCGCCCGATGTGGAGGTCCACGGCCCTGTCACTCCGGAGCAAAATTGAGATTTTTAACACAAATGTTAAGGCAGTGCTACTCTATGGCTCGGAGACCTGGAGGGTTACGAAGACATACTGATAGGCTAAAGGCGTTCGTAAACAAATACCTACGTCATATACTCAAAATAAGATGGCCAGAGAAAATAAACATAGACCTGTGGCAAATTTTAAAGCAACAGCCAATAGAGAAAGATATTAAGGCCCGAAAAGAAAAGAAAAAGAAAACATCGCAAAACATGGGTTGCTGAGTTTAATTGTGATCAAAGTTATGATTAGTTTTAGAGATTGTATGATTCATTTATACACAATTTAGAATTACAGAATATTGATTAGTCAGTATAGAAAACATTAGAGCAGAGATTACAAAAAGATATAATATAGTATTGTGGAATATAGAATATATTAGTATATTATTATAGAATCTAGGCTATACAGCAAGAAATACATAGTAAAATTGCAAAATATAAAAATAATAAATAATATAAAGGCCCATTTTATAATCGAATTTTAAACGTAATGTTATTACAAATATAAAATTGCAGAATATATATATAGAACGTGGTATATAATCTTAAGAACATGATTATGTAGTGGCGTACAAGGGTGTGTCAGAGGGCTATAACCCCCCCCCCCGATATATATATATATATATATATATATATATATATATATATATATATATATATATATATATATATATATATATATATATATATATATATATATATATATATATATATATATATATATATATATATATATATATATATATATATATATATATATATATATATATATATATATATATATATATATATATATATATATATATATATATATATATATATATATATATATATATAATCGATACAATAGGCATGTCTCTGACCTCTTTTAAACTTATCACTACTGTACTTAAGTTGTACCCCTAACCAGAGGCGTCACAAGTTGGGTGCGGGGCTGCGGACTGCGCAAGGTGGCAAAATTTCGGGGATGACACTATGGCGAAAAATTGCAAAATATATAGAAGAAGTATTCATTTTGCGAGTTCAGTATATGACTAATGAGAGTTAACTGTACTAATAACTGACTGCAGATAAAAATCTACTGTTGACTGTGCACGTTAAAAAATTACCACCCAAAGGGTGTTGGTTTGGGGTGGGGGGGGGGGGGGGGGGTGAGGGTGAGGGAAGATGACACAAACTGCAAAATTTACAGGTGAATGCATAGTATTTGGATAACAGATTTGCCAAGCGACGACCAAAGAGGGGCTGATACCAAAATCTAATAATTTACGATGAAAACGATACTTTTTCCACATGAATTAATAGATGGATTATGTGCACAAATTGACACCAATAGGCGAAATGGGAAGTCACCAAATGCAGTTATATATAGCTCTCCCGAGAGCACCCCACTACGTCCCTGACACCCGGGCGGTCGTCTAAGCGTGTTCTACTTCACTATTACGTATTCCTAGTGAAGGTCGCTCTTTAAAAAGAATGTAGGCGCCGGATGCCACACATAGTGCAGTTTTACTATTTATTCATGTGCGCGACTACAATTAGTGGGGCCGATGAAAAGACAACATCAGGGGTGCAGCTTAACTGTCGAAAATACCCAAGAGGGTATTCAATAATTTACCAAAATTAATTATCGGATGGCAGCGCCCCGTTTGTGCAAGTTGGAGCCCAGAGAACCCTGGATCCGTACATTAGGCGAGGTGCACAAGGGGTGAGGAAACTACTTATTTTCAACAACCTGCACCTAAAGAGTCCCCTGGGCCCAAGCAGTTGTTTGATCCGGTGCGACCCTGGCTTCCAGAGTAACTATGAGTTTTAAATAGCGCCCTACAGTAGGGAAATTTTTGTCTACTGAAAAAAGTGTCGTCGTTAGTCGCCCGGGATTGGGCATCCTGAACAGGGGTGAAACTACACTGCGGGCGTATTCCAGCGCCCCTATGTGGGTCCCTCATAAACACTATTACGCCTACGTTCGTTACGGAGTGCGATACATTATGGATACGATGGGCTACTGTGTGCGGTAGAATTTGCGCCTCAACAACTATGATGAAAGCCTTGTTTACGTTTAAATTGTTCAGATTTAGAAATCAAGGTCAAGCGTCAATTAATACGTGATTGCTAATGTATTTATGGAACCCTCTTAAAATATTGCATCAGTCTGCCTTCTGAGACCGCAGTAAGGCTGGTTTAATAATTTAAAACACATTATAAATACCTTTTTTATACCTAAGGAAAATATGTACCATGTTTTCCTGAAATTTTGCACTTTTAATTTTTAACTTCGTGATCCTCCATCAACGTCCATACTCTCCTTTAGTATTAAAGGGGATTTAGGCTTTTTTTTTAATTTATGGAAGGGGTGATCAGAAAGTCTGACCACACATTTTTGCTTTCATCCGTTGTTTCGGGCTTTGAAATATTGCTTTTGGTATTAATTCATTGATTAACGCAATGTTTATCGAGGTCAGTACATATTATAGAAAAGAATCTATCAAACAAAAATGCAGTTTCTGGGGGAGGGCGGACGGGTTATGTGTTGAGGTGTGGTGTTTTTAAAGAGGGGGGGGGGGGAGTAGGAAGATCCGGCTTTTTGTGAAAATGTATTACAATTCGAGAATGGGGGATTGGGTGCAAAGTCGTCTGAAGAGTGAGTCGTCGTTAATGGGTGACCACTTTATGATTGTATATTGACGTCACCATCATTGTGGGCGGTGGCTTTATGTGACGATATGTAACGAGGGGAAAGAGGGTTGAGTTAATGGCGTAGCATTTATTTTTCATTTTTTAAGGATACAAATAATAAAATCATCGCTTATTTTCTTTCACATATGTGACGACATTGTGTTGATCAAATGTATTAAATAGTAGGAATTACAGCTTATTAGTTTTTCCCTCCCCCCCTTCCCCCCCGACATTACCGCTCTTAAAGTACAGCTAGGGTTAGGGTTAGGGTTAGGGTAAGGGTTGGGGCTATGGCTATGGCTATGGCTATGGCTATGGCTAGGGTTAGGGCTAGAGTTAGGGTCAGGGTTAGGGTTAGGGTTAGGGTTAGGGTTAGGGTTTGGGCTTGGGCTAGGGTAAGGGTTAGCGTTAAGGCTAATGTTAGGGTTAGCGTTAGCGTTAGGGCTTACGTTATGATTATGGCTAGGGTTAGGGCTAGATTTGGGGTTAGGATCAGAGTTAGTGTTATGGTCAAGGTTAGGCTAAAACCTATGCCTAGAGTTGGCTGTGTCCGTGGGGGGGGTGGGGGGGTGGGGGGGGGGGGTGAGGGAGGATGTCCTCAAGGGCGGGGGATAATTGACTGGGGGTAATTACTCTGGGGTGGATAAACATGCCGAGATTCCAAACTTTGTAGCCTTTTGTAGGTAATCGAAGCTCATGCAAGTTCTTGAAAGCAACTTATTTCTCTTGTCTTTGACAAAAGAAATAAGAAGAGCCATCGTTGTCGGCTTATTTAACAGGGTGGATAGAGCTTTTACCAACTTCTTGGAAGTCTTAGTCTAAATCAATCCACGATTATGTGTTTAAGACAATAAACCTTAACTTTGCATGAGATAACAATATCGTTGTCCTTCATTCGGTCAAAAATCAACATTATGGCTTCACTGAACTTTGTCATTGAAGTTCATGTTTAGCTTGAAATGTGTGTCGGTTAAAATTGTACAGTTGATACCCAATATATCCAGCCTTTTTCTTCTTCGTTCAGCTGCTTTTCTTCTGGATTTCTTTTCTTATCCTTTTTAAATTCAAGAACAAGCGTTGTATCCCCAAGATGGGTTGCTATCCCCAACTATAGAGCCTCATCTACACGGGAGATTGAACTCAGAACATTTCGTGGTTTAGCTACCACGAAATTTACAAGCTCTTGATTTTGGTATTGGCGTGTCAGTTTTCTTCTTTATTTAGTCGACATCTAAAGTTAAACAAAACAGTTGCCTACCTCTGCAAAAGTCAATGTAGCCCAATTATGGCCAGTATAGCAATTAGCAACATCAAAGTTGATTTGAATTCCATACTTCTCTAGTGTGGAGGTATTTATTATTAATATTATCCTGTTTGTTTGATACTTTTCTTTAACTTAATAATATTAACCATAGGCACTTTTTGATTGGAGTACAAACTGGGTCCCAGTATTCTCTGGTAAACAATTAAGTTCTTGTCCAAATATGTGCTCAGCTAAGAGAAACAGCATTCCTAGTTTGTTTTATTTTTAGTTTTTTTTTTTTTACAGAGCTTCAGCTTTTTTAATGTCAAATGGTGCTGGGAATACTATACGTACAACACTTTTCAACTTTTAATCACTAACACTAACATCTTTTGTACACAGTAAGTAACCCTTCATCAAATTTTGAGAAATAATTTATTTATCAAACCTAACAATTGCATTATAAAGCTAAAAATGTATATATCAAGATTATTGCAATTATTGGCATTTGCAGATTCTTGTTTAACTACAATAGAAGGAAGTATTAGTTGTTTTTACATCACTTTTCACTTCCTGAAACAAAACAAAATGATTTTATTAAAAATTCATCTGAAATAATGAAACCAGCACAAAAAAAAATCAAAACAAAACAAGAAAAAAGTGATTGAATGAAATGAATCATGGCATAGATATCTATAAAATTTTAAGGTAAAAAAAATTTAAGTTCTTGTAAGTGAAACATGAGCTAGAGAAATAAACTATTAGGCCTAATTTAAATAATCTAATTCCTTTCTCCCAAAAGACTACATGTATCCTTAAAAAAAGTAAGCCTTAAAATTTATCAATATTTACATTGTGTATAAATTCTTCAGTTCTTCTACTGTATCAGCTTGACGCTCATTAATTATCCCTAATTCCTGTTGAGCAGTTAAGACAAATAAAGTTAATTATTCTAATTTGTATGACAAACCACTAAATGATTATAAATATTTTTTTTTATATTTTATATATATATATATATATATATATATATATATATATATATATATATATATATATATATATATATATATATATATATATATATATATATATATATATATATATATATATATATATATATATATATATATATATATTTATATATATATATATATATACATATATATATACAAATCAAACATCCTGCCTGCAAATTATCATATTTTGCAAAACAAATATTTAAAAAGATATAAAACTGGACTGGATGTGATTTGAATGAGTAATTACATGCCATTGTCAGCCTCATAACATATTGACTTATTGCTCCATGTACAAAAAAAAAATTAATGTAGGTTTAAATAAAACTAGATCTAGTTATTGTAAAACGAATTGTTAATATTTAATACTGTTACTACTATTATTATATTATAGAAATGCACAAGCACATATTACTGCACACGATCGTATTGTAATGAACGATATTACTTGGGTAGATGAAGTAGAGTAGACCTACATACACACTACATGATAAATGAAAGTTGCAACTGGTTGCCTTGACGTTAGTTTCTCAGACACCCCCCCCCCACCCCTTTGTACTTGATATCAGTGTCTATATCAGTAGGCCGTAATAAATTTATAAAATAAAATAAAAAGTAAACAGCTGTCAAAGTGTGTACAAGTATTTATTTATTACTAGTAAACAATTCAATGTTACAATACTGACAATACAGACATTTCAATGTTTGCTAAAAGAAATATAAATTATTAAAATACAGTTACCAGATCACCACATGAATTTTGATTTTGTCTAATAAAATAGAAACATTTAGGAGAATGGCAAAGTAAAAAAAATAATTTTGTTTGCAATAATTTAAAAATATGTTTATCAGAGCAAAGAAATAAATTACATAGCGACAACCTAAATTTAGCCTTTGTATAATCTACAATCAACATAGTAATGTAAAACAGTTACATAATCATAATTAATGTGAAGAAACAAATCTACAGTACAAGAAATCAGCCTCGTCTCATTACGATCCCTTTCAAGAAGAAAAATAGTATTAACTATCAAGGAATAAACACCATGCCTTGAGTGTATGCCGGAAAAAAAAATAAGTGACAACAAATTTCTTGGATTACTTTAGTTTTTAAAAACAATTTTCTAAAGCATCAATTGTAATTAATCTTTAGATACTATTTCAATTCGCACATATAAGGAAAAGAAATACATTTTTAAAAAGCGTTACAAGAGTGATCAAACTGAAAAAGAAAATAGTTTAAATTAGTTTGAAGCACGTAACAAATGATTCTAGGATTATCTTGCTGATTCAAATTACCCTGAAAAATAAGTTACGTAATTAAAATGTAATTATTTTTTTACATTATGAAAACAAAACATAATTATAAACATTATTAGTGTTAGTTTTCAAAATTTTTACAATTCACAGCAAGCATTTTTTCAGTAACACTAATGTTAAAAAATAGTTAATTTCTATACTACAAATGAAAGTAGTACTCTGTAACTCTTGATTAGCAATTATTCAGTAAGAAAAACAAGATTCCTACAAAGCAAGTCAACAACCAGTGATTCTGCCAGATGACATATTCTCAGCATTATCCTAATCATCTCCCAAGAGCTGACTTATGTTTTGTTGCTGGCACCCTTTCAATAGTCCTTCCACTGTATTGCGACACACTCTGATCACCTTGCTCCCACTTATGAGTTAACTGGCCACCAATCAGATTTCCCATCAGATACCTCTCCAGCTGTTGCACCAAGAAAGACTCAGTAGAAGTCAACAACGCTTCCATGACTTTAAGAAACATTTGATCGCCACTTTGCGTCCTTGTAAATCAACTATCAAAGGACCAGAAATTAACTTCCCAATCAGCCCGAGTGCTTGCAGCGCTGCACGAGAACCCCAGGCTTCTTAAGATCTGCAAGCAGTTGAATGTAGATTTTAGTTATGTCCCAGCAGCCACATCATTCTCTTTAAGATGAGCCTTGAATAAAAGCTGGATCTCCATGAAAACTGTACCTGAAAAGAGAAGGGCAAATGGAATTAGAATTAAGCAGACCATTTCACAAAATATATATTTAGCTCAACATATTGCAAGGTATATAAAATAAATATAAAAATTAGAAATAAATTCAGCCTCCTTACTTACTAAATGTACTTCCACCTGAGACATTGAACATAGATAGGGCTGTAGGGTAACCCGGGGTAATTCCATGCACTACTTTTCTAAAAAATTTGTAAAAAATCTAAAATCAACACTACCACAATATAATATTGAGGGTAAAACTAGACATGCATTACTTATATGATGGCAAACAAATATAAAAATAATTCACAAAATAAAATAAAAATTTTAAATATTTCACTTTTATTGCAAAAACATGGCAAGTGGGGCAATTCCGCACACATTATGAAAATTTTAAAATTCATGTATTTAAAAATGTGTAAAAAACATTTTTTCCCTTGAAAACAATTTTGCATGGGGGCAACCAGTCTTCATCACTGGGTGAGGAGAAAGTCTCAATTTCTTCCTCCTGAATTCTACTCTCATCTGTCATAGGCCGAAGTTATTCGTTTATAATTGTGGACCATTCTGAAATAAATACAAAATTAAATGTTAGAAAGTCTAATTACTAATGTGTGTATGGGGATGTTTAGCTCTAAATATTGCATAAATTATAATAAATAATATAGGTACAGTAAAAATAATAATAGATAAAGAAATAAAAGAAGTATGTGGCAATTTTACTTAACTTTGATAGCAGAGTTTTTAAAAAAAATAAATAGTACTAGATCTAGTACTATTCAAGTATTTTTTAAGATTAAATCATGAGTTGTGAATTACAGAATCAGCCACAACCATTTGAAATGGTTTAAAATAAAAGCTAAACCCTCTAAAGAGTATAAAAAGCAACATGGGACATTCCAAACTATAGTGTATGGAATTGCCCCACACCATGTGTGTGGAATTGCCCCACACCTACTATTGAAAAAAATATGCTTTCCTGTTCTAAATTAAAGGCTGAATCTAGCATCATTAACTGTTACTATAAACAAAAATAATTAAGCTTTCATATAATCAATAAATAATTGACAACAATTAAAAATAAGACAAAAAAAAATATTTTTAAAAATTGCAGGGGTTGTTGAAGATAGATGCAGATAAAATTAAAATTCTTGTTTTGAATGTAGGTGAACGCTTCTCTAACAGTATCAGAAAGTACAAGAAATGACCTCTTAGAAACAGGGAATAGTAACTTTTAATTAAACTTTACTCTCATTAAAAATAGAGAGTATCCAGTATATACTGTGTGGAATTACCCCACCTTACCCTACACAAGTTCCACCAACCTATTCCATTCACAAGCCTCAGCCACTTTATCTCAGCCATCAACTTTCTGATTACATTAGCAATCCCCCTTACACTGGGTTAGTCTTGCCTATAAACAAATAAGATTTACAAGGAAAACAAATTTACTCAAGCTGTAGGCCCTATGTATAGGCCTATTTTTTTTACTATAAGTCTAGTATTAATTTCATATTTTAAAAAGATTACCAAGTACTGAAATTGGCCTTAATAAAGAGGTCTAAATAATCTGCTGAAATAATAGAGGGCATAGCATAGGGCTTTATAAAAAATTATATATAGGCCTAGTTATATATATATATATTATATTATATATAGGGCTTTCTAAAAAATTATATGTAGGCCTAGTTATATATATATATATATATATATATATATATATATATATATATATATATATATATATATATATATATATATATATATATAGGCCTAGGCCTATTTGATGGAGATTTATGCCTGAACTAGTCTAAATCTAATCTTAACAATAACAATGTCTTACTATTTATACAAGATCTAGACTAGATCTACTCCTTGGATGAAATAGAATGCAAGTTTATGCAAAAATAAAATAATAAACATTATAATTATTGTAACTAGATCTAGGCCCTAAACAAAATTAACTAGTCTATTTCTTAATGTGTGTCATGTCATGTTTGCCTGTCGTCCCTACTGGGACATAGGCCGCTGACAAGAGCTTTCCAGACGTCTCTGTCCAGGGCTAGTCTCTCCAACTGTTCCCAGGTGTATCCAATCTTCTTGGTGTCTTCTTCCAGGTCACGTCTCCAGGTCTTTCTTGGTCTGCCTCTCTTCCTCCTGCCTTGTGGATTCCAGGTGAGGGCCTGTCTTGTTATGCTGGATACAGGCTTCCTGAGTGTGTGGCCAATCCATTTCCATTTTCTCTGGAGGATCTCTACTTCCACTGGCAGTTGATTTGTCCGTTGCCATAGAACATCATTTCTGATGGTTTTAGGCCAGCGAATTCGCAGGATCTTTCTGAGACATGCGTTTATAAATGATTGTATTTTCTTCTTATTTATAGCAGTTATTCTACATGTCTCGGCTCCATAGAGTAAAACAGGTTTTACTAGTGTGTTGAAGATCCGGATTTTTATTCTAAGGGTTAAATCTCCCGAACCCCAAACATTTTTTAGTTGGTTGAAGACTGCTCTTGCCTTACCCGTCCTTATTTTTATGTCTGCTTCTGTCCCACCCTGCTTATCAACAATACTTCCAAGGTAGGCGAATCTATCCACTTCTTCTAGGGCTTCTTCTGCCAGTGTTATAGGGTTGTTGTTGTTTGATGTATTGACTTTGAGAACTTTACTTTTCCCTCTGTGGATGTTCAGACCCAGGCTTGTAGAAAAATTTGCAACCCTGTTGGTTTTATCCTGCATTTGCTGTTGTGTGTGAGAAAGGAGGGCCAGGTCGTCAGCAAAGTCCAGGTCATCCAGCTGGCTCCACAATGTCCACTGTATACCGTTTCGCGTTTTCTCTGTTGACATCTTCATAACCCAGTCTATGGCCAGTAGGAACAGGAATGGTGAAAGTAGGCAACCCTGCCTTACTCCGGTCCGTACTGGGAAGGCCTCTGTAGTCTGTTGGCCATGCACTACTCTACATTTGAGACCTTCATATGAAGACATAATAATGTTGACTATTTTCTGTGGCACCCCGTAGTGTCTCAACAATTTCCACATTGACTGCCTATCCAGACTATCAAAGGCCTTCTCATAGTCTATGAAATTAATGTAGAGAGATGAGTTCCACTCTTGGGTCTGTTCAATGATGATGCGCAGGGTAGCAATTTGGTCTATGCATGACCTTTCCTTCCTAAAGCCCGCCTGTTGATCTCGAAGCTGGGGATCTATGGCTTCCTTAATTCTGTTTAATAATATTCTGTTGAAGACTTTGCCTGGGATGGACAAAAGTGTTATCCCTCTATAGTTAGAGCATGCACTAAGATCGCCTTTCTTTGGAAGCTTTATGAGTAGTCCCTCCTTCCACTCCTCTGGTATTTGTTCGTTTCCCAGATTTTCTTGAAGAGTGTGTATAGTAGTGTGGTGCTAGTTTCTATATCTGCTGTCAGTGCTTCTGCCGGTATACCATCTATTCCTGGAGCCTTCCAATTTTTCAGCTGCTTTATAGCTCTATGTATCTCTTCTTTTGAAGGTGGGTTGCAGTCTATAGGGAGGTCACTTTCAGCTGGTGGTATGTCTTGCGTGCACTCTGGTGTTGGTTTATTCAGTAGTTCTTCAAAATGTTCTACCCATCTCTTCATCTGTCCTTCCGCATCAGGTATTGTCTTTCCATCTTTGGTTTTCACTGGCCTCTCTGGCTTACTGTACTTACCAGATATCTTCTTAATTGTATTGTACACGTCCCTAATATTACCATGGTACAGTGCTTCTTCCGCTTCTTTTGCCAGCAGTTCCAAATAGCTCCGTTTGTCTTTCCTTATGTGTTTCTTTACATTTTTGTTCGTTTCGGTGTATTCTTCCAGTCTTTTAATTTCGTAGCCCTATTTCTTAATAGATCTAGATTAATTTTTACTAGATCTAGAATATTCGAATCTTTGATCTAAATACTAAATCTAGATCTAGATTCTTTTTAATTTTGTTACTGTCTAGATTCTAGTTACTAGATCAGTAAATTTTTCTAAATCTATTCTTGATGATCTAGAATATAATTAGTAGATCTAGCTAGATCAAGATCTAATAGCCTATTTTTATGTAAAGATCTAAAAATAAAATAAATGTACAGTCTAGAGTCTAGATCTAGACCTATTCAACCGTAATAATTTAGTATGTAGGCTACTTAAACTAATAAAATTATAATTAGAATCAAGGCCTGTGACAATGAATAACTAATACTAAGATCAGAGAGCGGATATCAAGAGATGCGATATTTTAATTATGTAATAATTACTGGGAATTTGGAGCGAAAATAAGGCTTACTCGCGGGCGACTTTTCTGCCTATGTGGAAGGTTAAGACTTAACTCGCAACTCGCTATTGGAAGGGTTCTGCAAAAATTTTTTTTTTTTATTTCGAAAGGGTGGCGCCGCGGGAGTGTGCGATTTTTCTATATGCACGGTATATACAAATAAAAGACGATTGCAGTTATCCCAGGCCATAAAACTTTAGGAAGTTGATGAATACTCCCGATAAGGTTTCTCGGATGGAGAAGGGTGGGAGTGGGTGGATGGTGGTGGAAGGGGGGATTTAATTTTGCATTGGAGCCCCCCCGGCAGGATGCCATTTGGCACCCTGTTCTTTACCGTGAGCGCTATGGCGACTACGTTGGGTCTAAACAGCGTCATAGACAATGGATAGGATGTGGCGTTACTAATTTGAATCAGGCGTGTCCGCCGGTGCCCTGGTATGGTGCGATTTGGCTGCAAACAAAAATTTCAGTTTCGGCCTTTAAAGACTCACAGGGGCCGCCGTTTCTCCATCCTCTCTAAGGCTAACTCGCCGGTTTATATATCCAACCTGCGAGCGTCTCGGATGACACCTGCTCTCGGCAAGAATTCTAGCGCTTACCTGTGAAAATTTCCCCTGCTTTTGTGCTAGCCTACCCCAAAAAACTCTATATAAAAACTTACTGCGATCTCCTAAAATTCTAATAAACGTATCATCTGAAACCGTAGACTATTCCCGTTACAAATTACATATAACATCAATTAGTTGTTCTTAAACATCAACTATGCAAATAACGTAAAAATATCATCAAATACGCCTAATTAAAGTAGATTTCCAGAATATCGGCTTGCTCCTAACTAACACTAAGATACTCTAATTAAACATCTAGCTTGGCCTAATAATTCATCCTGTGTTTATGCTATAACAACTATTTATTAAGATACGAATTTTTCTTCTTGCCCTGATAAGCACAATGGACATTCCTAAAAATTCACTACATTATGTAAATCGCTCATTTCTGAATTATATACAGTCGAAGTAAAGAACAGATATTTTCTACATTAAAATGAAAAGGCAGAATAACTGGTAAAAAGCGCCACGATCTTTTCTAATGAGGGAGGTGAGGGCGCATTTACACCAACAAGAATAACTATATTTAGGCCTAATTTGGGGGGGGGGGGGGCGCAAAATCGATAGTTCGCTATTTTATATTACTATTTTAATAGTTTATTTAATATATTCAGATAATTCTGTAATTACAAAGCACTTTTTAATACTTGCGATTACACATTTTTTCCTGCCCCTATGATAGCGCCATAGACTACCGCCTAGTTCGCCTTATAGGTAGCGCCGGCCTTGCTGAGTGAAGCCGACCAAGAAATGGCCTACGACAAAAAAAAAAAAAAAAAATGCAAAATACAATATGTATAAATTTATTTTGTAATTAAATTTTTCCGAGAAATTGCGAGGCTCGAAAAGCGAAATGGCGAGGTAAACTGCGAGAAGAAAATGCGACACACAGTTTCAGGTTCTTTTTTTTTTTTTTTTAGTTATACTAAAGAAGCTTAAATATCACGAACGTTGTGATTTTTTAAAATTTTTTAAATTTTTTGATTTTTTTTATAGAGGCCCTATATAGATTAAAAAATCTTTTTCTTGTCAGCGGGAGAAAAAACCCGTATCTATAGACGGGTCAGTGTGAGTTCATAAAGAGAATACTATTTTAGACTATATTTTAAAAATCTATATGTAGGTATTCAAATTTCTAATGAATTTAGAAAAAAACCTGTTTCGGCTAAAATGAATGTTATTCTTTAAACTAGTAATGTTAAAGCTGTTAAAGCTGTCTTTTTCACATTTTCGACTTATAAGCAATACAGTAAGTTCCGATAACGTAAATATGCATATAAGTATTGGCGTAGGCAAGGAGGGATTTAATATTGATAGGGGTTTAATAATGATACTTTCTTAACCCTCTACTGGACATCATGATTGGTACCTTGTCCCCGTCAATTGTTTCCTTCATAGTAAATGGCTTCAGTTTTAATTATTGGAGTTGGTAGCAACATTGACACAGTTGAAGGTATTCAGAACAAGATCGCCAGGAGAAATCTCATTTATTAGTATACAATTTACTACTAACAATAGGCCACTGATTAATGTTATTAAGCCTGGTAGGTATTTATGTTTATTAATTTGCAAAGAAACAAAAAAAAGGGTTTCTCAAAGTTTTATTTTTCAGAAATAAAGAAAATGATACAAATCAATAAAAAAAAAACAGTTTCAAAAGAATTTGTATAAAAGTAATTTATATTTAATAAAATATAGTGTTGCATAAATAAAAATAAAATACTTGACACAAACAATGTGAGGAATATTTTTATTAGAGAAGAAAAAAATATATGATGTGGTTTGAAAAAATTAATGAATTCTTGTTTCATTTTTAAATTTTATAATATAATATTTTAAGAAATTCTATATAAGGAATTGTGTGTATATATATAAATTTATATATTTAATAAGACAATTGGGTATTCACCAACAGCAAAATTATTCAAATAAGTTTGGAAGTATTTCCCAATATCAATTATCCAGCTTTTTCTTGGCTTGAATTGCTTTGAATGTTTTTCTGCAAATGAAATAAAGGCAAAATATTTTGATACTTTCTTTTTTTGGACTAGCAAGAGCCCCCCCCCCCCCAAAGAAAGTCTACAGCCCCCCCCCCAATTTCAAGTGCCCCCCCCCCCCCCCCCGGAGAAAAAAGTCTGGATATTAATGAAGTAGACTATCAATATTTAACCCCTCTTTAGGCTTAAACATCAATCTCTGTGAGGTAAAATATAAAATATGATTCAATAAAACTGTTTCAGTAGATTAATTACATTAGATAACCACAATATGTTTCAATTATCATTCAAATATAATGATGAACAAATATAATACCCTCTATGTTGTACAACTCACTGATTTATTAGAATTTAAGTAGACAATAATTAATACAATATTTTGGAAACAATTTTGCCTTTGGGTAACCATCTTTCATCACAGGATGAAGAGAAAGCCTCCGTTTCTTCCTCCTGAATTCTGCTGTCATTAAGAGACCTTTTCAACTGCAGCTTTCATTACCTTCTTGTCATAGGCTGACGTTATTCCTTTATATTTGCTGACCATTCTGAAATGAGAACAAAATTAAATGTTAGAAAGTCTAATTACTATTGCATAAATTATAATAAATAATATAGGTACAGCAAAAATAATACCAAACTATATGGTATGGAATTGCCCCACACCATGAGAAAATATACTTTCCTGTTCTAAATTAACTGCTCAATCTAGCATCATTAATCGTTACCATTAACAAAAACGATTAAGCTTTCATAAAATTGATGAACAATTGACAACAATTAAAAATAAGAGAAAATAAACTATTTTTAAAAAGTGTAGGGGTTGTACTTACGTAAGAAGGTTTGAAGATATATATATATATATATATATATATATATATATATATATATATATATATATATATATATATATATATATATATATATATATATATATATATATATATATATATATATATATATATATATATATATATATATATATATATATATATATATATATATATATATGATTACTTTTCCCTATTGCTCTACTCTCCTTAATCTAATTTAAAAATAGTATGTAAATCATCAAAAAACATTAATTTGGATTGTGTCTATAACTTAACGAAAATGCTACTACTATGATGGATGGCACTAATTAGAGGTTGGTTTTCATGCTAATCTATGTGTAAATTGCTTTTTATATCTATGAGTGTTTGGCCATCCAGATTTCATAAGTATAACTGATTAGGGGTCGGCGTGGTCGAGTCGGTAAAGCTCATGGTTGCTAAACCGAAAAGTCTCGAGTTCGAACATTCGGGCAGATGGTGCTCGTTAGCTGGGGGCAGCCACTCTTCTAGGAGAGACAACTCCAAAATTAAACAACTGCCGCCTTGTAGTTTGTTCTTGGTTGAACAAAGGCTATGGAAGCAAATCCAAAAAGAAAAGCATGCTGAAATTGGAGTCAATGGCTTCAATGGCGCATAACCAGTTGACACGTATCGCTTAATTGTGTTGGAGGCGTGGTCGAGTCGGCAAACCTCATGGTTGATAAATCGAACAAAGTCTCGAGTTCAAACACACTGGCAGATAAATCTCGATCCCCTCCATCACTAATAATTAAGAACGAAGAAGAAGAGACTGATGTTCAATTACAAGGGATATTAATCATTTTTCATGGCCGATATACACTGTTCCTAGTTTCATCCTCAGGTAACTAGGCATATTCAATTTTTTAAAGTATTTATTATTGCAAGAGTTTGCATTATATGTAATAATAAATCCGTAAAGGCATTATATCAGTAACATTATGGCAAATCAAAACATTGAAGAAGCCCCATCAACCAACAGTTGCGGAGTTCAATGATTACGATGGGCAACAATAAATACGCCCGCATCAAGGTACAGTCCTTATGCTATTCGGCAACTAATGTGTCCCAAAACCAAGGATTGAAATCTTGACCCATTATTCTGATTAATTAGTGGTTAAACATCTTAATGCATCTGAAGACGTGAGTTTTTAATCCAGTGTACTCAATACGGAACAACACTGGATGCCGCTTTAAAAACCCAATCCCATGTTACACAAGGCGTCGATAGAAAAAGAAAAGACTGAGTCAGAACACGCAAGCGCTTAGATAACTGCCAAAGACCTAATCTGTAGACCTCACAAATCTAGAAGATATATTTGTGATTTTGTTTTTAGACTTTCAGACGAAATAGGGCGCATAAAAGAGAAAATAATGTTTGATCTAGAGACTTCAAACATTTCTGAAGGACCAAATTTAAACTTGTAGGCCGTTGGTGTCGATGCCAAATTTTAGCGTCATGCACGAAGACAAGCTATTGTTATATTATATATATGCCCATATTGTGACATTTACAAATGTGTCTTACATAGGACAGAATACATAGCTACTCGTCCCAGATCTGTGTTTAATAAAAATGTGTACCTCGTCGCGAGTTAGGATCTGTCTGTAGTCTGTTACTACTCTATATCTAAAAACAATAAAAGTATAGCGTTCATTTTACTTCTTCAATTTCTTGGTTAAAAGTATTTGTTGCATCTTGTTCAGTTTTGTAATAAACAAAGAAAATTGTGACTAAATTTCCGGGTGCGGGTATGTTGACACTAGTTAAAGTATATATATCTATTTATATTTATAGAAATGAAAGTATGTTTGTCTGTTTGTCCTATATGAATTACTACATATTTTATCGGATCGCCATAAAACTGTAAAGTAGAATAATGAGCGCCCACCGGTGCCCTGGCAGTTGGCGACAGCGAGGGTTCTTGTTCTACCGGGAGTGCCTACTTTCTTTTTAAAGAACACTCTACAATAGGGACACGGTGGCACACGACATTTGATAATTAAACCAAATTAGGAGAACCCCTGCAGTAGTGTAACCAGTGGCTCACTGAAGCGCCAAGGGACGTGTCTCTGACACGTAGGCGGTCGCAGATGTGTGTTCTACCTCACTATTACAGAGGTTGATTAACGTACACTCAAGAAGCATTGGTGCGTCTAGGCGGCAGTGTGTTTAGCATTACCAAACATTTCATTCGTTTGTCTTTCTTCTTCTTCTTTTTCGTTCTTAATTGTGAATATGGTGGAGGATTCAGACAACAAGTCCAACTTCGTGAACAAACCGGACTGTGGTCTCCTGTTTGGCAGGTGCCCCATATAATTTTTCCCTGAGTGGGGTGGGCAGGGGCCAGTGTCTGACTCGTGCCTGGCTATACAAAGTACATTCCTGAAGTACGTGCTCCGAATTTTCCGGGGCCTTGCCCTAAGGGCACATTTCGCCACACCCAACCTTCAGTTTTCTGTGCATGTGTTGATTTAGTCTGTTGTGGCCTCTTGTTGTTTTCGTGTAAGATTATAATAGCCGTCATCTTTATTGTATTGAGGGTGTGTGTCAGACCACATTTGCGTTTGTTTGTTTTTTATTATTCTTTTTATTTCTTTTGGGTGTAGCGAAATTTCCGGTTGTGGTTTCTTTCCCCCAATTTTTGCCAGCTGGTCTGCCTTTCAAATTTGAGAAGCTATCGCTAATAACCCTTTGGAGTTTCTGCGAAAAAATATTTTTCGATTTGGTGGCGCCCTGGCAGGGTTCTAATTAACTTTCCCGTGAGTACTATGGTACCTTCGTCCGTTTTAATAATTGCGAAACGCTATGAATATGATGGGCTACTATAATCGCTCACTATACCGAGTGAGGCCCACCTAAGCCCACCTACCTACATACTTAACGCCCTGCCTAACCTACCTACCTATCTACTAAAAAGTCATCTTTATTTCACATAGAAAATAGTGTTTGATCGGCTGGACATACGGACAAGATTCAAAACTATGTTTTTCCGACTAAGGGAGGTGTAAAACGTCGATATTTGCAAAAAACTCGATTTTTTTTTCACGAGTGCAATACTTCAAGAAAGGGAGCAGATGGTATTGTAACAACGTAGCTGTTCCTAAAAATAATTTATACAGGAAATGTTTAATCTCATTACTTAATTAATTAGTTAACTATTATCGCTAAAGAAAATGTGTGTGGTATGTGACATGACCTATATTAAATATTTTATTGTTTTGAGTTTTTATTTAAATCAATACAACAAATCCGCCGGTTGGTTCATTCTGCTATGTAATGAGGCAAAATTATTTTGCAACAATAAAATATATGTTTGTGTGCATCAAATATCACGGTAAATCTGCATAAGTTTTGGGTGGTGGTAAAATGCATAAATGTCACGTGACAGACGTTTTTCGCGCACTTCTCGTAGGGTACTGCTTCGCCATTTCGCGCCTCGCAATTTCCCAAGACCCTTTTTAACTAAATAGGTAACAAAAGTTGAGGTTTCTTTGTAAATTACCTTAAATTAATTTTAATTATTATTGTTATAAACCATAATGCCTTTTAGAGGCGTAGCTAGGGGGGGGGACCGCACCGGGTGACACCATTTAGGGGGGTGACACCAAGGCAAAAAATAGCAGAGAAAAATGATAATTCCACTTAATCAAGTGATTAATTCAAGTGTAAAATGGTATTTTAAGAGGTGCAAATCGAAAGTTTGAGGGGGGGGGGGGCGGATGCAAATCGAAAGTTTGAGGGGAGGGGGTGCAAATGGAAAATTGAAAGTTTGTCCCCGGGAAGAGTCGCTACGCCTCTGGGGGATGACACCATTAAGTGCTGCACCGGGTGACACCCGACCTCGCTACGCCACTGATGCTTTTAAGGTTTACAAATATGTTACAAAAAAAAACAGAACCTACAACAATAAACACCCAAAATTTTACTATTCTCGACAGTTAAATCAAAATATTTCTTGTGACGTTTTTCTGTGACTTTATTTCTGTGACTTTTTTCCGATAAAATTTATCCTTTGTGACTTTTTTATATGCCTTTTTTTCCTAGCATAAATTGTGACTTTTTTCTGTTTTTTTTCCCTGTGACTATTTTCCCGTTCACCAGATCTAGATCAGTGGTACTTGACCTGGGTTCGATCTAACCCTGCTGGGGCGACGATCTTGCAAAATCGTTATTATTTCTCTGGCAGAAATCTCTCCAGGAGAATTATTCCTATGTTCAATCAAACCCTGTAGGGTCGCCGCCCTTGCGAAAAAAATTTCTTCGCAGAAACCTTTCCGGGGCTATTCTTAACAACGTCCCAAAGTTTCATGGCAATATGATGAAAGATGTAGATGTAGTAATGCATAAAGCAGAGGCGTAGCAAGGCTGGGGGGGGGGGTGGCTGACTGCACCGGGTGACCATTTAGGGGGGTGACACTAAGGCAAAAAAAAAGCAAAATATATACAGAAATATTCCACTTAATTAATTAGAGTGTTAAATATTCTTTTAAGAGCAAATTCGACACATTCCGACAAGGGTGGAGGGGGGGGGGGGGGTGGGGGGTGACACCATGACGTAAACCAGATATTGATATAGAAAATTTGCTACATCAAGGTGTATTTATAAACGACTATAGATAAAAATCGTTAGTACAGTTAAAAGCGATCCATAAGGGGGGGGAGGGGGAGTGGGGGGATGCTACATTAACTTAACGTTGCAAAATATGCCTGATGTATGGGGGGGGGGGGAGACGTAAATAAATAAAATACATAAAAACAAATATATATGAATACCTATACACATGCGTATGTACATACTTTATATATATATATATATATATATATATATATATATATATATATATATATATATATATATATATATATATATATATATATATATATATATATATATATATATATATATATATATATACATACTTTGATTCTATACTATCGAGCCCGTCCCAACGGGGTTAGAATAAAGACAAAAAATAGCCCGGGGCAAATAGCAACCTACCGGGGCGCCTAATTCAATTTAGTGAGCCACTTTAACGCCTCATCTTATTCATAGTATATTGCGCTATTTAAAACGAACGTAGACGCCATAGCACACACGGAAAAACCTGGGACGCCAAATCGCACCCTGCCGAACGGAATTGAAATTTTTTTCCCGCGGTAACTTTCCAGGCAGTATCTCATCAACTCCCGAAAGCACTTGATTGAACGGTGTACTGCATCCGACATTCAAATATACAGCAGATACCGAAAAGTCGCACCCCTTACGAAAAAAAAATTGTCCAGAAACATCCCCTGAAGTGATCCCATCAATACTTAAAAGTTTATTTATTTTATGTTAAATTTCAGTTTCCAGTTAAACCGTCGTTTTCCAGTAAAATTAACTTTAAACGTTTCAATTTCAGTTAATTTTCAGGTTGCGTTTAAATGTCCGTTTGAGTCAAATTTCCGTCTTTCGGATAAAGTTCAGCTTTCAGTTAATATTCGTAACCAGTTAAAATGTCCGTAACCAGTTAAAATGTCCGTAACCGGATAAATTTATGTTTCCGTTTTTAATTTAGATTCAGGTTACATATCGTAACGGTACTCAAGTTATCGTGTTTGCAGACACACAGAATTGCAGTCCAGTTTTTCCGACGAAATGTTAATAATTCTGGATTTAGAATTTTTGCCCGATTAATATAAGTACCCTACACTTTCTATATACTCTGTATACGAGAAAGTAAAAACGTTTTAATTGCATTAAAACTAAAAAATAAATTATACACGACTATAATAACTATAAAGAAAAAAGGTATTTCCCTTCCTAAATATAAGTAAAGGTATTCAATAGATACTAAAGTGACTTGTGTTTTTCATTATAGTTTATATTGTATAATTTATTTTCTTCCTTTTAGTGCATTATTACTTAAAAGCTTGTTGTTAAAACGTTTTTATTAATTTCTCTTTACATTCGTTAGGAAACAATTATTTCTCTATAACTTTTTACAAACTTATATTTAACTTGCTTCCTCTGTCGTCAGAGTGTAGAAACGCTGTGTATCTGTCGTCAGAGATCGAAATACTTGAGCGAAATTCGGGTACTTATTACTGATACGTTTCAAAGTTGGCAAGTGGGTCAAGACATGAAAACAAGACGCGAAGACATGAAAGTGCAGATTAAATTAAATTACCTTTTTTCGAATGGGGAAAAAATAGTTAAAATAGTTTATTTTAAGGAAATTCAATCAAATTATATTGTTTGTAAAAACTTTCAAATTGTGTTGCAAAAGCATGTTTCTTTATCCAACTGAAATATATTTAGATAACCACATCTTGCCCAGTGGTTATTGCTTGAATACGGTGGTTGCCCTGATGCATTGCCACCACAAATATTATCTGCAGGTACATCTTTTTCCCAAACACCGTTGATCATGCCTTTTAATTCAAAGTATGTATTTTCTGTTTTGGAACAATCCATTTCAACGGATACAATCCAAAGATCGGAATCAAAACTGAAAAAAAACCACGATTTCTACAGCAAATAAGGTTGTTTTAACGAAACAGCACAAAATGAAAAACTAAAACAAATAAGATAAAAAATATAAATAATTTACATAGACTAACACACCTCAAAGCTTGCGACCTATAAACCTCTCTCTCTCTATATATATATATTATTTATCTTATTTATTTATTTATTTATTTATTTATTTATTTATTTAATTTATTTATTTATTTATTTATTTATTTATTTATTTATTAATTTATTTATTTATTTAATTTATTTATTTATTTATTTATTTATTTATTTATTTATTTATTTATTTATTTATTTATTTATTTATTTATTTATTTATTTATTTATTTATTTATTTATTTATTTATTTATTTATTTTTTTTTTTTTTTTTTTTTTTTTTTTTTTTTTTTTTTTTTATTTAATTAATTATTTAATTATTTATTTATTTATTTATTTATACTTTAAGCTATTTTTAAATTGATTTAATTTAATTCAATTTATTGAATAAAATACTTTTTTTTTTTATTTATTTGATAAGTATTAAATTGATAATCTATAGTGTTTCATAAAGTTCTATACTTAAAAAAATCTTTCATAATCTATCATAATATAAATTATTGTGCATTATAATAATTGTACATTCTACATTTACATTACGATAATGTTGTAATATATATAAAATATCTTACGTATGGTAGTTTTCTATGTTGGTGACATTTGTTCCAAGATATAAGGGCGTTCCATAAGCTCTTTGTTGTTTGAATTCACCTTGATTTAACTCAGAACCATACCAGTCCAGAAAATTATCTCCAATGGCCCAATTGTTATACTATATTCACACATATATATATATATATATATATATATATATATATATATATATATATATATATATATATATATATATATATATATATATATATATATATATATATATATATATATATATATATATATATATATATATATATATATATATATATATATATATATATATATATATATATATATATATATATATATATATATATATATATATATATATATATATATATATATATATATATATATATATATATATATATATATATATATATATATACATATACTTTTCAACAAAAGTTACCTTATTAAAATTAGTAGAGTTAAATAAAGGAACGTGACGTATTGGAATACTGCAAGCACTATACTTTGCATCAGTCTCACATCCTGGAAAGCATGTGTAGATTGAATAACGACGTTTAAAATTCCTGAAATACTAAATTGTTATTTATTGTTTAATTATAAAAGCTTTTTTTCTTGGCTAAAATCAAATAATGCTTTTTTATAGGTATACTTGCCTGTCCTCTTTTTGTGATCTATTCCGCCACGAACAAATAAATCCTGACCTGATGGAAGTTTTGCTAAGAAGATAATAACTGTTTCCTTGAAGTCTTCTTTAACGGGAATCAACTGCACTGGTTCTGGAGGAAACACAACTCTTGCACCATTCTTGCTTTCTGCAAATAATTAAATTAAATTTCAATCAAGATTTCCGAAAACATTTTTATCATTTTTATTGATAAATTCGTAATTTCATCGGCAATTATATATTACTTGTTTTTATACATTAATAAACATGTCAGTACGGAAATATTATGGTGAACTTTGCCGATCTTGCTAAATTGTCTTCACATTATTTTCAAAGCCTATCACTTATAGAACTGCAACACTATTTTAAGAAAATTGAACTGTTCAGAGTTAATAGGCCTATATTTTTTGTGACCAGCTCATATAAGATATGGAACTACAGATTGAAATATTAATACGCTATATATTTAGCCGATTGGCAATGGGAAATTTGGTATTCTTAACTGACACAGTAGCAAAGAAGCAAGTAAAAAAAATATTAAAGAAGCCACAATTATAGTAGTGATTGTTTTAACAAAAGTGAGTACATTCTTATATTTAGACTACATCCTAGAGCTAGTTAGTAAATTAAAATTTAGAAGTAGCGTTAGACTGGCGTAAGGTTAGCATAGACATTGTGGTACTAGTAATACGGTAGAATGGACATATTCTTACAAAAATCTGTGATACATCCACATCGTTGATCTGTCTTACGAAAGCATAAATTCAGTGTGATTATTTAAGAAAGGGGGAGGGGGGCTTCGCTTAAAAAACGTTTTTAATACTCGTTAGAAAGTAATTTCTGTACAGCTTTATTAAAATAAATAGGCATATGCATTTCCACTAAATAATTGGTGGAAAAATCTTGGTGACAATCGGCGGCAATCTTGAAAAATTATCCCGTTCGTCTGTTTTCCACCATTCATAAAATATTATATTACTAGATAAAACGGCCCGTTGAGGGAGATACAACGGGTGCTAGGTTGATAGTGTTGTCTTTTTTTCTTTAAATCGAAATAAAAATTTCTCACCAGAATTGGCATTTTAACCGGAATTAAGCTTGATCTGCGTGTAGTTACTACATACAGATACTAAACATAGTCGATGTAAATTCCTAAACCTTACACCTAATCTTAAACACGAATTAAGTCGCATTTAGGGGGGGGGGGTGGAGGGGCTCCGCACTCTAAAGCACGTCTACCGTCCCATTCAAAGAAATATAATTTTTATAGAAAACATATATTCACCAGTGTCCGCCCCTTTCCAAAAAATTTTATAAGCCTGTTTCCTACTTTCGACCGATAAATTTTACTCTCGAAGACAGTGTTTCAGGCTTTTTTTTCTGGGGGTGGGGCACTTGAATTTATGCAGGGGCGAATAAATAAAAGTATATATTTTCAATATAAATTATATTACGCCTTTTTTGGGGTGGATGGGTGGGGGGGATGGGGGTGGGGTTGGGAGTGCGAGGGGTAAAGGGGCTTTCCCCCTAGCAGGAGAAACTCTACATGCAAAACACGTATAACATTAGACACATAATTTAGGCCGTAATGTCAGTATTTTTATTATGGAGTATCGATGACGTCATTTCTTTGAGGCGGGAAGGGGGTGGGGGGGGGGGGTGGGGGTTCGGCATAGAACGGGGGTGGAGCTTCGCCACTACCAGATGAGATGCATGAAAGAAACTCTTCACGCAAAACACTAAATATTAGACACATTAATTAGGCCGTAATATCAGTGTTTTTATTATGGAGTATCGATGACGTCATTTCTTTTGAGGGGGGGGGGGCGGCATAAATGTTCTTAGGTGGAGGGAGGGGCTTTGTCCCTTACCCAAAGAATTGCATGAAAAAACTCTGCACTTTTAAGATTAGACAAAAATTGGCTTTTTAGAATCAATGACGTCATATTACTGTGTGCACTCTCCGGCTGTAGACTATTTTCTACTATATGTTCCATGTGACGTCACATTACTATATATGTTTTTACTTTGCTTGTGTTTTCTCTATAGCGTTCTTGACAGATACATAGATGGATACGCAGATAGATAGATAGACAGCGAAATTATTATTATCATTTAGTCTTACTCAAATCAAAAATAGTGTCATTATTTTTAGTTTTAAATCATTCTATTTATAAGTTAATTTCAACTGTGTTATCTTATACCTAATTCAGTCAATTCAGGCAACATCATATTAGCTCAATTCATATAATTTGTACTATTTTAAAAAGGTTAATTTATTATCTTTGTATCTACTCATTTACTAGTTTAATTGTTAAATAAAATTCTTTAAGAAAAAAAAATTAGTGACTATTCGTATAAAACAATGGAACATTAAAATGCGGTAACGATACCGCTAATTTTTTACCTAGATTGTGAGACTTTTTGCATAGTCTGCTCAAACGGATAAACTTAAAATAACTATGCTAGCTAGAAAGTTTAATAAATAATGAAGATAATCACACTAAAAACAGATATAGTCTCAATGTTTCACTATTTTAAGTACACTATTTTTGTAAATTCACCTTTTAAACAATATGAGATAGTAAAAACAAGCAAAAAGTTGAAAAAAAAATATTGTACTACGGTAACGGTCATTAACCGCTGCTATCATTTTTTAAACAGTTAACATAGCAATGCGAACGACTACATTGGAATTAGATTTTCTTGTTCACGAAAGGTTAAGAGCCTGTGAACGTCATATTTTATTTACTTGTCCATCTAGCTACTATACCTATACCTATGCCTATGCCTATGCCTATGCCTATGCCTATGCCTATGCCTATGCCTATGCCTATGCCTATGCCTATGCCTATGCCTATGCCTACGCCTACGCCTACGCCTACAACAACGCCTACGCCTACGCCTACACCTACACCTACACCTACACCTACACCTACACCTACACCTACACCAGGGGTCTCCAAACTTTTCAGCCCCAGGGCCGCATTAACTATAAAAAAATCAGTCCGGGGGCCAGAGTTTTTTTCCAGGCATCTCTTCAGGGTTGTAGAGCCCCTCAGCCCCCGAAAATGTCTGCCCCCCCCCCAAATATAAATTATATATAAATATATACAAATTTCAAGTGTCGTCGTCAACCCCCACCCCCGGAGAAAAAAGTCTGAAAGAAACACTGTCGGGGGCCAACAACACACTCCAGGTCCGATTTGTTCTCAAATCGTTCTTCGCGTATTTCATTTTTGAAAATGTTTGTTAAACCAGGTATGATATGTTGTTGCAAAATTTGATACTTTGATGCAAGTTTTAGAAAAGCCTTCTTGGTCAAAAACGTTTTTAAAAAAACCCACCCGTCCTTCTTTGAACTAGTCTCTAAAGAGGTCATTTGCTTGCAATTCAATGACCTCCAGCTGCAGTTCATCTGGGCAACTGGCTACATTTTCTTCAAATGGGTTTTGAAACCGTCTCAGTTCTGCCTTTGAATCCAAATCCGAAAATCCCCACTGAAACTGCAGCTGGAGGTCTTTGATCATGAGCGGGGGGGGGGGGGCAGCTGTTGCTTACGCCTTGAAGACCTATATGAAGTTATAATCAGCAAATGTTTTTTTTCAACTCATTGAATATATCATCTCCGGTAACAGTGCTATACATGTTATGTAGGGAAGCCAGCTTTTGTGTTATGTTCATGTCTTCATCCACACTTCTAATAAACACAAGCAGTTGAGAGGTGGAACATCTGTCCAGCGACTCATCTATTACAATTGAAAAATTGCGAAACTTGAGTCAACATGTTTTCACCAATGTCTGCAACACGGTGGGCAACGGTAGTTGTACCAAAAGCTACATTTTGTAATTGTTTTGAAATTTCTGGGCAAAGTTCCTCAGCCACCTCTAACAAACATTTTTGTCCTTGGACAAAAAGATCTCCGCGGGCCGGATGAGAGGACCTAGCGGGCCGCATTCGGCCCGCGGGCCGTAGTTTGGAGACCCCTGACCTACACCTACACCTATAGGCCTACCTATTCCTATTCCTATTCCTATTCCAAAATATATATGACCGGATATAGCAACGTCACTAGTACATACTTGTAGTAAAAGCTACGAAGGGTTCAAATCCGTCATGAGGGCTAATATTTGCCATGCCATTGTTGTCAACATCAATTGTTTTGGCACAATCACTTATTAAATCACAGTACTGTCCAGCTGGCAAACCTTGAAAAAAATTTTTTAAACATTATCCTTAAAATTAACAAAACCTACAGATAATATAAACTTTCTCGAATATTTAAACTACCCGGGATGGTAACTTAGGACTTTTTGATTTCTTAAACTTTTAAAAATAAAAAAAATCTCGTAGAAAGAAGTATTGCACACTAAATGTACAATAAAACAAATTGTGCTTTAAAATTAATGTTTTATTTTTTGAGAAATTGCTTCCAGTAAACCGATATTGCTAAAAATTAAACAATAGAAATCGTACTGAAGATTCTAGAAAAACCAGAAGTAAAATGCTTTACTTCCGTCTAAAGAAACTCGCTGAAAAGTTCTTACAGAAATAATTTGTCGAGATTTATGAAAATCTCATAAGAGAAAGTAAAATGCTTTAAAAAAAATACCTGTATTTAGATGTTTGTTAAAGTTAATTTTTCCCATTGCGAAAAAACCGACATTATCTCTACTAAACCACATAACATCGCCTTGAACATTCCAGTTTGTTATTCCTGTATTGAGTACATCGTTTCTATACCGTACCATATTAGCGATTACCTTCCACCTGTAATAAAATGTTAGTAAAATGTTAACCGAAGATCTGAAGAAATAGCCAACTATGATTTAATATGTAAAGCTAAAGCAAATATTAAATGGCCATACCGCGAAAGGATTTTTTGAAGTATTTAAACACACCTATGCTCACAAACCCAGCCATTTCCGCAAGTACCGTCTGCGTTAATTATTACATCCTTAATTACATCTCCGTCATGTGGGGGAGGTTGCGAACGATCCGTAAAATAGTAGCTACTCATCACTCTTGCGAAGCCATAATTAAACGCTAGAGTAAATGCAACAGCTCTTTTGTATTCGACAGGGTTCTAAAACAAAGTTAAAAGGTTTCTAAAAGCAAAGTCGAAAGCAATACGTACAATTTCTAAAAAAAAAAGAATCAATATTTGGAGGAAAAATAATGGTATATTTTCTATTTATCTATTTTGATTTACAACATTAGGGCTACACTCACTCGTATATTACTTAATAGTTTAAAATACGTAAACAGGTAAAAATAATCACTGTTAGTATTGCGGAAAGTAGAGGCTTATTTCCTCTGAACATTGAAAAAGCTATACTTACAATGTTTATTTCTCGACAAGATATTTATATAAGCATTACTTTAAAAAACAAATCTTACATCAAAATGTAGCTGGCCACCTCTTTGATTGTCATGATTATCAACGAAAACAAAAGCGTGTTCTGTAGGGGCCATACCCCAGTCTAAATGCACTACACCCCTGAGATTATCAAAATTATTGATAGCGTATTTCACTTGTTCGCCATAGTTAAACTCTGCAAAAAAATAAAGCGTACCACAGTTGGACAGTTGTTTTTTTAAAACTTAATTATGTTTAACAAAACAAATAAAAGCCGTCAATACCTGTAACATATCCCAGATGATAATATTCAGACGCATGGACTGCTCCCCCTGCTATTACCTCTTGGTAAATGAACGGCCTTCCGCCATTTACGGAATGCAACTATGTATTTTGTGAATATTGTATCTATGTTAAATTCAATTATACTATTATTATTTGCTAACTATATTTTAATTTTTTATTTATTTATTCATATATATTTTTTTAATTCGACACCGTAACTAAACAAATCAGTATAAAAAATACTCATTTTACCTTAGACCAAATAACGTCCAAATCTCCAGGCCACATATGTTTTGCAGCGTCTACTCTAAAACCAGCTAAGCCAATGTCAATCAAACTGTTCAAGTAATCTGCAATTTTCTGTCGCACCCAGTCTTTTTCTTGCCATAAGTCTGTCAATCCTCCCATGTTACAGTTTCTAACATCGTTAACATCGTCATAACTACAAACGATTTGATGTTATTCAATTAGAAATATCAATTTTTTATATTTAATTTGGTTGGTATTACAAGCAACTGTAATATTTTAAAAATGTAAATTAAAAATTTAATTATTGCTTCGAACGCCTATTTTATATTTAGCAAAAATAAATGCATCCAACAAATAAAAATAATTATTTGTCTATTATTACTTGTGAATGTTATTATCAGAGTTTGGACATCTTCCAACCATGTTAAAATCTAATATACTATAAGGTACACCAGAGAACTCTCGTTTATCTGCGTCAAAATGACTGCCTGCAGATCCAGTCCCGCTAAAGCCAACACCAGCCATATGGTTTATGACAACATCTGCATAGATTCTAACAAAGAAAAAAATATTGTAAATAACATTTTTTTATGTACTTAGCTTCATCCACTTTTATAATAATTATAAGCTATAAGTAGTATTTTCAAAAATCTTTTTTTTTTTGTTTTTTTTTTCCTCAGCTTTTGACTAAACTATTTAATTTAATTAGTTTTAAAAAAAAATATGTACTTGTTTTGCATTTAACTCTTTCAGTGTTTGAACCCATTCCCCACCCTCAGCCCCATATTACTTTTGTGTGAACAAAAAAATCTTACTGCACTCCTACTCTTTTACATCTTCTAACCATATCCCTTAGCTCTGCTTCAGTACCACTTCTACTAGTCAATTTATAGCTTACAGGAGCGTAACGCTCTGACCAAGGTCTATTAGGTCGTTCGACTAAATGTTCATTAGGTGGTGAAATCTGAAACAAGTAATTTAAACAATTAAGGAATTACCTTTTGAATGATTTCATTTTAATATTAGATAGTACTTTGTCGTGCTGCTAAATAAATGAATAGTCTTTTTTAAATGATGTATACTCTGTATCGATATTTTTACATTGATTTATTGAATAAATTAAGTGGCATTCTGTGAGAAAGAATACCAGTTCTTGTAGTAGGCTACTTAACCTGAATATTGAATTATACTACCTGTACACCACAGAATCCTTTAGGCCCAAGAAAACGTTCACACTCGATTGCAATATCGGTCCATTTCCAGTTAAATAAATGAGCAATTACTTGTTTACCGTCACAATGTGGGTCATGATACGGCAGTTGGCCTAATACCACTGTACAGGAAAGGCGAAACAAAAATTATTCAATGTTTATTTTTGGAAATAATTTAACAAAACTATATTGCAAAAAAACTTACAAGAAAGAAACGCAGCTAAAATTGTAAAAGTTAACATCTTGATTCAGTCTCCAAAACAAATGTTTTCTAAATTTCTTATCATAATTTTTTTTTTTTAAATTATGACCTAATTTTTAGATAAAAACGATACATTTTTTAAAAGTTAAAAGACAGCTGTTTACTTCTAGACTAATTTCCGTACATAAAGTCAAATTTAAATTTTATTTTTAAAAAATTGTTCAAATTTTTTTCAGTCGATCCAACACTTTTCTGAACTACGCTGTTGTGCCGTATAATTTAGCTTAGAAAACATAAAAGCAAATAATATAGGGTTGTGAATATATCTGTATATTATAGAATCTAGGATTATTTGATTGCTTGTCCTATTCGATACAACATACTAATTTTTTTAGGTCTTAAAATTTCAGCAAGTATCGCCTTCCACCCACCAGCTCCTACTATATGCTATTTTACTATTTTTTAACGGTTCCAGAGCTGTTTTGAAAGTTGCTATGTCAAGAACTAATGATTCTAAGATAGTGGGCACTACATTTGTTCATATATCTCAAGTAGCAAAAAAGTTATAGTTTTTTTTTTTTTAATTTTAACTTTTTTTCCAACACCAAGAAAGTGCTATGTTTGAGAGGTTATATCTGTAAAAGTATATGTCACAAACACAATCATCTTGAACTAAACACAAAAAACACATACACAGAGAACAGACTCAATTTTTTCAAATCTAAAAAATAAGCACATAATTTTAATTAATTGCTCTGAAATTGGCTTTTCTCACTTTTTGAAAAAATTATAAAGGGAAGTAAAAACACAAATTTTGTACCTTTTTTTTGTAATTTATTTGCGATCCAATGGTGGCTGGAACAGTGGTAGGATCACATAAAGAAAATATTTTTGTTGAAATAATTATTAATCTCTAGAACCCGTAGTGCTTTTAAAAGTAAGAACATTTATCTAGAATGCCTCAGTCGATGTATCTTTATGTTATAAATATGTATTTATACATAGCTGGTTCAACAAGTATTGGGATATGGTAGGGCTACACAAAAATATAGGCTAAATAGATAACCATGCTAGTCTACTTTTTAGTGCATTAGTACGTAAAAGCTTGTTATTAAAACGTTTTTTATGCAAAAGTTTTTAGTACTGTACATGTTTTTATTTACACTAGAGTTTCATGACTAAAAACCATTTCGCGCCGATTGAAACGTGATGGCGCAGCCATTGAACGTGATGGAGCAGCTATTGAACGTGATGACGCGTGTGGTGTGGTTGGAAAGACATGCCTACTAATTCGGTCCAAATTTTAATCAATTCATAAAAAATTAATTAGGCTTCACATTAAGTCAAATTTAATGTCACAATGCATTGTCTTCATGTCTTGACCCACGTGCCAAGTGTGAATCGTATCGGTCAAGTAGAAGTGTCCGAATTTTTATTCCTGCGTTTCGATCTAGATTGACGACTGACGACTAACGAGGAAGTGAGTTAATTAAAAGCTTGTAAAAATCAAACTCCGTACAAAGCTCATCGGGCGAAGCTGAAAAATTACGTGGAAGTCTAATAATTGACGGCGTTATAGCTTTAATAATAAAAATATACTGAAGAAATAAACTACAGTAGACTCACAAACTGGTTTATTAAGTAGCTACATGTTTTTATTTATTTTACTGAACTATCAAGCCTCTAAAACTTGCTAATATCAATTTAGAAAAGCTTCGTGGTGCGTTGTTAACGAAGAAAACGACCATTTTCTGCGACCGGGCCTAGAGCTATTTTATTGATCGCTATAGTGTGTTTTGTCGAGCTCGGCCTTTTTTGACCATGCTCAGAAATGATACACAAAATAAGTGTTTTAACAGAAAAAAGGACCACCTTTCTGTAAATGCTAAAAAAAAATTTATACGATGAAAAACTCACATGGTAATTTTCAAATTTCTTAGTTCTTTTAACATTTAAATTATGCTTTTTTAAAATTTAGAATCCCACTAAAGGCTATTCAATTCTGCACATTTAACAGGTGTTAGTAAAGAAAAACGTTGAACGATCAAAAAGGCCCGAGAGTTGAATGAAAGAGGGGTCAAAATCCGTTACTTGACCGCCGTTGAAAAATCATCTCGGTGATAGTTTTCAATGGTAAATGAGATATATTGTTTAATATCAACAACTATAAATCTCACACATAACTAGAGGGCTTAAAATCTACTTTTTAATGGTACCAAGGTTATTACTATACGAGCCCTTTTTATTATAGAAACTATGAAGTGAAAAGCTACTATATTTGGGCAACGCGGGCCAAAACGCCGTTTTCGGCAGTTTGACATACCTAGTTTAAAATACAGTGATCCAGGAAAGAACGTAATGCAATCAAGTAAAATTATCTGATCTCTTACATTAAAGTTGAGAGAATCGTAAGAAGCCTACAAAGAACTAGTCGAGTCATTTCTGTACAAAACTGGCTAGTGATCTCGTCCATTAAGCGTTAATGCAATTGGTTTATATTCTGTGTTGAATATCCAGTACGAATACTCGCGATTTTTTTAGCAAAAAAAGCGTCCTCCCCTTCCCCCCACATCATCTTGATAAAAGTCACTACTTTTTTTTGCGGTTACACAATATTACAATACGCTTTAATACAATTGGTTGCTTTTATAAGTGGTTACATTTATCAACTTACCTATCTAGAGTAAATTCTTCCGATTTTAAGCGGCAAAAAAGCCTCACCCCTATATCTAGGAAAAGCTATTTCTTAATTAATTAACCCTTTGAGGACCAAGGGACACCGGTGTCCCAAATGTTCAAATTATCGCCAAACGAAATTGGAATAACATAGAGTTGTTGAATTTGCTTTAAAACAATTATTACATGATAGACTTAATCTAAATAAGGCTGTTTTCAGTATATATGAGATAGTTTTGTTGTCATGTTTATGGAAACTTTTCACCTTTAGACCATTTTTATATAATAAAAAATACTAAATGTAACAGAGATAAATAACTGGTGGTTTTTTTTAAAGGTTTACTAATGAGGTATTATATTTACATTTGTTTTTCCTAATAGTTTCACTTGTTTTTTTAAAAGAGTAATTTGTTTTGTTTTGGACATATATGTCCCTACGGTCCGGAAGGGAGATAAATTTTTTTTTTACAATGTCGCTAAGCATGTGTTTTGGCAGTTGAATACATATAGGGGCAGAGCTTTTATTTACTATCGCTGAACAAAATACTGAGCAAATACTGTTTGTAGACAATAGTGACGATGAAAACAACTTGCTTTTTGATGAAAAAGATCTTAATTTTCTGTAGAAAAATGTCGATAAAAGAGGGGAAAAGATATAATTGAATTACCTGTCAAGTCCAAGAAAAGATTGTCACCAGTGATAAAGCCTACACCTCATTCTAGTCATTCTATTTTGCATACATTGCATACATCGCCAATCTCACATGCTATATAGACTAATATTCCCTATAATCTGCATGGTCGCGCAGCCGGTCAGTATTTTTTAACATGCCGCGCTGTCATTTCGTAAAATACAAATAATCTTGTATATGACTTTAAGAACACCCCGCACAAAAAATATACGATGCACACTAGATTTTCCCCCTTAGAGGGAGCGATAATAGTGACAATTACCACTCGGACATACCCTCCCCCCCCCCCCCCCCCCCACCCGGTATTTCCACCTCGGAGCAATTACCCAATGTCTAATTATAAATAAATTAGGATGTTACGGTTAAATATTGGTTTAGAGTTGAGTTTAGAATTAGATAGTAGGGTTAGATATATGGTTGGAGTTTTGGGATGAAGGGCAGGGTTCTTCAGCATCAGGGGGGGGGGTATTTGACGGGGGAGGGGTAATGTCCTCTAGACCCAAAGCTAACACTTTACCTTATCATCAATAGAACATTATTTGCCCTACGAACAATCGAACGTCCTCGTGAGATTTGAAAAAGGAGACTTGGGCAAGACATTTCTCTCTCAGACTCTCAGCCCAATAAGCTGATTCATTTGTCTGCATCCTTGTCATCATCATGTGTTGAACATCTTAGTTGGCACGTTCTACTGAACATTGGCATTGACTATGCCTTGGTTCTTCTGTGAACTAGTTTGAGTTCATGCCACATGTTCTTTAGTTCAGAAATAACTTTATTCACAAATTCTTTTCCATTAGGATTTGGATTATTTATTTTGGTAGCCATCTGGTATGTCTGTCTATGATCTGACGGTCATTGCGCACATTGACCGGCCAACTCGGGCTTTGGCCGCACTTCGGGCTTTGACCGTAACACACACACACACACACACAGACATATATATATATATATATATATATATATATATATATATATATATATATATATATATATATATATATATATATATATATATATATATATATATATATATATATATATATATATATATATCTATATATATATTTATATATACATATATATATATATATATATATATATATATATATATATATATATATATATATATATATATATATATATATATAAAATGCTGGAGAAAATTTATATATACATATATATATATATATATATATATATATATATATATATATATATATATATATATATATATATATATATATATATATATATATATATATAATGCTGGAGAAAATTTGAACCCCCCCCCCTCCATGAGACAATCCTGGCTACGCTACTGTTTTCAACTAGAGGCTTCTGGAAACACACTTTCAAATACAAGTTATTGGCTATGGTTATGGGAAATTTACAATAGATGTTGATTGTAATTAAGATCCCAATGTTATTTGGCATATTTTCAGTGTTTGTTAGCTCTGATTATAGATACAGTAAATGATTCATTTTCAAACTCAATCGCAAGACATCTGTATATTTTTTAGAATGAAACTTGTGATGGGATAATATGTGCTTCTAAATTTGAAGACTACTAGTTCACGGAACCTGATCTCCATGTTTCATATATTGATAACGTGAAAAAAGGCATTTATATGCACACTTAACAATAATCCCAGCCCGGCTACAATGCAAAACCAAGCTTGAATATATGCAAATGATAGCGAGAGCTCTCATGTAGGGATTACATAAAAGACTTCAAGACCTGGTTGTAGAGGCAAAAAGTTCACTTCAACCTCACAACCTGAACACGTCGATGAATCAAATGAAGAAAAACGCAGGAGTTATGCACAATGGGCAATGGAAAAGATTGAGAATATAATTGACAATATGTAAGATGTCTGCCATATTCACGTATATTACATAACATCACGTAACTGCTTCAAAAGCTTCATTCATAGATGACTATACACTCATAAAAGACATACATATGTTCTCATTACTGATATTCTTAGTTTCCAGTGTACCAGAACAACGATCACCTTTGGAATAAACATGTTGATATAGCACATAACACAACATATTTTCGATAACTTTCCCTTGAGGACCATAGGGACATATAGATCTATGTCCCATGCTGTATCTCAAAAACTATTTAAGATATCAGAAAACCGTTAACATTTTTTAAATCTACGTGTCATTTTACTACTAATATTATGTGCACAGATATTTGAAATGAGGCCTGCATTCCTTGTGGTCCTGAAAGGGTAAGGGCATATGTTTTACATACACAATCATGGTAAAAAAACGGTTAAATCAGTATGTAAAAGCTTGGAGCCATTCAATTTCTTTACTTAGACTGTTTATAATTCAAAACTGCAGCAAAACATTAGCTAATAAATTTTCCCCACCCCTTTTGGCGCCCCAAAGTAATTCCAAAAGAAAAGGAATTATTCTGTAATAAGAGACTTCTGTAGCAATGACAGAAGCTATATTTATTTATGGAACACTTCTGATGACTTGTTGAGACTGATAGACATATACAGGACAACTCTGTTGAAATTCTGCAAAGCCGCTCATGATAAGTATGTTACAAAATTTAAAAAAAAAACCCACAACAACCCCAGTTTGGGCTTTTAAGACTCTTTGTTAGACGGTAAGAATTTGATACTGAGAAGAAAGCTGAGAAACTGGACCATCCTTAACAAAGCTAGAGTGTATTGGCTGTTTTCATAGAAGAAAATCAATTAATCAGACAGTCGGCGTCATCGGTCACGTGCAACAAGACGTTCAAATGAGTTTGCCTCGTTCGATACTACCCTTGTAAGTTGA